ATTGATTGACATACAGACTCATGAATCTCCGGTTCCGGCCTGCGCAGATGAGCGGAAAGCTAGGACTGGGCGGAAAGCTCGCAACAACGCTCTCTCCATGGAAATGATCATGGATGCATTGTGGCAGTCTTCAATTGTGCAACGTCAGAACTGCCAAAAGCTAGAGCAAAGTGTTCTAGGGCCACAGTTTGTTAGGGCTGCCTGGAGAAGGCTTCCATGATCAATCAGCTTCCATGCGAGTCCCTTTTAATCTCCCCTAGATTAAAACTTTGGATCCGCCAACATAGCGGCGCCACCCTGTTCTGGGTAGGTCAAGTGGCCGAGCGTCCGGCAGAGGAAAGACCATAAAGCTTCAAAAGCACGTTTTGTAAACTGTGACAGCTTTTCATCTGGTAGCCTGTCTGGAGCTAGCTTTGCGCAGCCGGGCATGGGGAAGAAGCGGTGCTGGTGTCAGGCTTGACAGCTGTTGAATTTAAAGGAACAGGAAAAGGGTTACCCTGATCTTAGTTGGCCTAGCTCAGAGCGCTGCAGAAGGAGAGCGTACTCAGCACTGCTCTGTGGCACGGTCCTCACAAAATGGCTTCATGGTTCAGCAACCTGGTAGCAACGCTTGGCTTTTTCCTGCTGGGGCACTGTGCATATGCCACAATTGGATGTAAGCAGACTGGATTTCAAGGTCTTACTTGACCGAGTTGTTTGGCAAAGCATTCATGAGATGTGTCATTTCGTGATTCTGACAGCAGAGCTGTCCAAATAGAGCATGTAATTGCGAATTATATTGAGAAACATGATTGCACATTTTCCTGTTGGTTCGCTGTAGCTGGTCTGACACCTTTTGATTGTGGTGAAAACCTCAGCCCACTGTGCATTCAAGTCAGAACTCAAACCATTTTGAAATTGACAAGAAAATCACCCTTCAATGAAGCCAGTTTTAGAAATGGCTGCAGCCTTCGGAAGTTGCCCACTGATGTTGCCGCAGAAGCATACTTCATGTGTTGATAGATCTTTCAGCTCATCGTCTGATTGAGCTGGCCTTACAGCGTCAATTTGTGTTCCTTTCCCGTTATAAAAGTAATCCCGGCTCACCCTGCTTGCACTGTGCCAAAAGAAGTCTGGAGAGCTTGCTGAGGTTGTTCAATGTTGTATGCAGATCGAGAGGGGTTGAAGTTGGCTGAAAAGGAGTACAACTTGCCACCATCCGAGGTAAGAGGGTGCAAACCACACCCTTGTGACTCCTCTTTACTGCTCCAACAGCTTTTGTCGTACTGCTTTGTCAAATACCCTGTACCAAATGGGCTGTACCAGTTGCAAAAATACTGTCAGCGAAAGTAGCGGTACTCTTCTGTAATTGATGCAGAAAGCTCACCTTTCAGTCAATGTGAGTCTCAAGGACCACTGCTTTCTAAGTCTGGCAGTACATGGGCTTGTACTTTATTTTGTTTTTGAGAGAGACTGGGGAACGTGTAAAATATTAGTATTCTCAATTGGTTAGAGTCCGAGGTAGTCCAAGATATGGAGTGTACAGATAAGTCTAAGGCAGCTTTCACAAGAGCTTACTCGTCAAGCTGATTGCTGTTCCTATGCATCCCTGAGGAGAAGTACTTGGTTCGCATTGGTTGACCCTTGTACTTTGCTCCGATTAAGGTTACATTGAATTCAACTCAACGTTGATTGTCACTAATCGTCAGAGCTTTGAACGCCACCTATGTGCTGCAGATTCTATTGGAACTGCTTGTTGCTACCGCCATCCTGGTGTGGTCCAGTCTCGAGATGGGGGGGCCCTTCGCACCCATCAAAGTAGATGCCGCAAGCAACAGGTGAGAGTTCAATGTGACCGTTCCGGGGCAAGTGTTCCATGAGGAGATTCAATGAGCTTGAGCTCAAATATGGCGTTCGGTACGAGGCCGGTGACACCGCAATGCAAGTGGGTCCGGAAACTTTGGACAGCGAGCGAGGCACTCATTCAATCGTTCTTTACAAAATCCGAGTTTTTTTGTGTTCAGTCAGTTTCTTACACAGACGAGTAATGATATGGAAGGCATCGCTTTCAGGACTTCAACGATTGCCAGGTACCCTGCTTTGAAAGGCTTTCTCCTTTCGAAAGTCGCAAGTCACTTTGAACCATCAACAGTGCAAGGACCCTTTAATTTCGGTTCTTGTGATTTAGGAGCCGTTATGCGCGGTCAAGGTGATGCTTCTCGAGCTCGAAATGAAGTCTCAAGCATGTCTTCGCATCTCTTTCAAGCGTTTTTGTTAAGGACAGGAACTTTTGGTTGACCTCATTCATTGGACCTGATCGAGATTGCGTCCCACAACATCCAGGTTGGTTAAGCTTCCGGAGCTGATGGACTTCTGCTCGGTCAACCACCGAGGCAGAGGCCTCCCCGCTTTCTTAGAGCCGTCAGGAGGAATGGACGACTGATATGAGATCACGGGCCAAAATGTACGGGGACAGCTCAATGGGGCGTTCAGCGCTTTTCAGAACATCATAAGGCACAACACGTCCAGATGATTGGCTTCTGCAGGCCCTTGTTGGTTGTCAACTATTTTCAAGAGAAGCAGTGGCAGAACCAGTCGTTCTGCCACTATTGAGAGGCATGCAGCATAGCCTGGAAGAACAAGAAATATTGATGTACAGCCGAATTGTCAAGAGGACAGCTTGATCCAATAGCAATCTCACAGCACGACCTTATCGAGGTGTACGACTTGATTTGCCTGCGGTGGAAGCTGGATATGTTTTTGAGTGACAAACCGCATATGATGTATGACATGACTGCATAACTGGACAATCATTGTCAAATCTGGCATGGATGAGCAAGGATGTGCGCATATGTTGGAGTCAATCAACGAGTCGGAATCCATCATCCGATCACATGCATGACGGAGTTGAATTAATTGACCCATGGCAATTCAAAGGTGGCTGTCGTGATTGGACTCATGTATCCGGGTGCCAACTTGTACATGTAATCGACATATCGTATATACGGCCACTGAGTAGATGCAGCAGTTCGGTTGAAAGCGGCATCCGGCCGCCACGGTGCAGGCCGGGTGCATGCAGCGGTGGTTTCATATTTAATGATGATGCAGTATACGTACATGATGTGCAAGCAACTTTAGTACCTGGTCGCCCGCCTGCCGCCAATTCAGTGTGCCCAGTCCCGATATTGCGCATGCAACGATAGCTCATCTCGTTATCGGGGTTGATTCTTAACACGTTTGATTTGAATGTTGCACTTTCACACGCGGCGTAATGGTACTTTCAGAGCGGCCCGCCAGCTTTGATGCCGAACGTCAATGGCTATACTTATGTGGCAGCTATTGCATAATATATCAAAACAGAAGGCAAGCCTAGGATCCAACATTTGCGTGCCAGAACAAGCCAGAAGTCCATTTGTCTTTTCTTGAAGGTCCCGGTCTAATTCTTATTTACAACAAACACTACACTACCGTCCCCACATACACTGAACTACCTTAAGCGCATATGTATACTCAAACTCGATCTGCGTGAACTCGCTCAGTTTTTCCGCATTTAGTTCGCCCTATCACTGTCAACAAGAACACACCCTAGTTTCAAAGCATCTCTTTTTTAACAAACCTGGGGCCGGACGTTCCTAGCATGGAACCGAGTGACGATGATGCTACACAACAGGGTGCTTCTAAGGAAGTATTCGCATCCTTGCATCCAAACCTATCGCTAACACTTATTTCAACGCAACAGCTCCCTATCAAACCTGCTCTCGTGATCCTTATTGATTTGTACAAGGCCAACCTGATTCAACCAACTCCGTCCCTCAGCAAAGTAGCTCATTGCGTCACCCCCCGGCCAACCGCGCCAGCTGCCCCGCCACGACTGGGGTGGAACACGCCGCGAGCGCAAAGAGCGCGGTCAGCGTGTATGCCACTTGGGCGAACAGGAGCAGGTCCTCGTCCTTGGCTGCCAGGGCCGCGGAGCCGAGGCCGTGGCTGGACGAGCTGACGGCCAGCGCGCGTGCGACCGGGTCGTTGAACCGGGCGAGCGAGAGGAGCCAGCGGTTGAGGTTGGAGCCCAGGACGCCGGTCAGGACGCTCGCCCCGACCAGGAGGGAGGGGTCACCTGCGATGAAGGGGAAGGAGCTAGAAACAGATCCGTTGATTGGTAGTGGATCAAATGAAGGCAAGCCGTTCAAACTGCAGGGACATCCGCAGAAAACACCTCACAAAGTAGCACAATTGGCACGCGCCTGCCGATTTCTGCACCGAAAACGGACAGCGTGCGATAAGCAGACTCACAATTGACGCCAGAATGAGTTCCAAAATTGTCAGGAATGGCGCTTTGGAGTCTCAATTTGTGACAGTCGGAGGCCGTTTTGGACACCTAAGTGTGACCATTCACAGGCTCAGGCTATCTCTTCGGCATACAGCGAACTCATCGAGGCAGACCACTTTAATAAGATGTGCAGAAAGAACAATCTGGGCGGAGCGCTTACCGCCGATCAGAGGCGCCAGCGGTGCGGCCACTTGCGGCGAGACGAAGCGCGCGGCCAGGGACGCGCTGAGGGCGGGGTCCAGGCGAAGGCGGCGCGCCAAAAAGGCGGCGGAGAAGAGAGAAAAGAGCGCCGACAGGGGTACAACCACGCCCAGCTCCGGCAGGTGGTCGCGGATCAGCTGCAAACGGAAGCAATCAGGGCGGTGCGCTAGCCGCTTCGGAGACACGTGTCCTTTTGGGCGCGCTTCCTCTAGCTGAGCTCACGGGGTCTTGACGATGCATATTAGCCAGCGGGGCGGCTTGGAAATAGGAAATGACAGGTTTAATAGACCTGAGAAGGCAGAATATGCACGAACCGGATCAGCAGCTACAGAAAAGGGCACTTCAGACAGGGAGGCCGCGTACAACTTGTGAACAGAGGACGGTGCCAGCACATCTCCTCAGCGCGTTGCAACGAGCAGAGTATAGTGCTGATGGAAGCGTGCCGTGCGCCCTTTTCAAGCTGGGCGACCTGTTGGCACACGTTGAAGATTGAAAACCCGTCGAACTTTCCGCAGGCGACAGCAGCCAGAAGGAGCGGAAGAAATCAAGAGCCAAATCACAAGTTGTGAATGAGGGACCGTGTTTGAAACGGTAAGATAAGTTTGTACCTTCTTCTGTCGGTTCAGCGTGAACGCGAGCGCCAGGATGGACGGTCCGATGAACGAGCTCAAGATATCGGCGGCGCCGGGAGAGCGGATGCCGCCGGTCGAGTACAGCCCTGCAACAACAGGTGCTTGAGATGATACTGATGGCTTAACCCAAAAGGAGTAAGGAGTTCTAGTTGGACCAGTGTGTGTCGTGAGAGATTAAAAAGCCGATTTGAAGCTCCAATTCGGGTTGAGTTCATCCTGTCCACGTCGAAAAAGGGGCGCACACTCGGAGCTGCTGACGGAAAAAAGCGTAGCAATCGGACAGGTCAGGTTCTGTGACCGGCACGGATCGAAAGCAGTCGCGGCGGCCAGGGTTGAGAATACTTCGATCGGTCAGCTCTGTGCAACGCACATTAACAAGGACTGCATGCGCTGAAAACTTCTAAAGACTCCTGTGAATCTCCTCTCTGTCTGGCACGTCAAAAAGAGTCCAAATCCCGCCACCTGGCAATCTCAGAAGGGTCGCGGGTGGCCTAGCTTCCTGCCGTTAAGCGAAGTTGACCATGCAGGTACTAAAGGAAGCAGGGCTCGACCGTGGAGGTCAGAGTGAAGCCGTCTTTTTGGAAAAGAGGAGCTGCCCCGTCGAACACCGGTATGCTCGCGCAAACACACTAGCAAGCCAGAAGCATGCTGAGAGCCATGGATGCATCAAAGTAACATCAATTACTGCAGTATGATTCAAACTCACTTGTGAAATGCGTCTCTGGGTTTCCGAATCTTGAACAAGGACGGGAAACGAAAGCGAAGTGATTTGGCACCTCACCTAGGATGGAGTCCCAGCCACGGCCGAGGCTCTGGCCTCCCACAAAAGCGAGTGCGTTTACGAGAGCAGCGGCCACTAGGGACGGGTGGATGAGCCGCTTCAAAGGGCCGGGGAGCCTGGACGAAATGAATCAGCGTTTGAGGACTCGGGAAACCGACGGAATTATGTATTGCGGCTACGAATTCAACGGTTCGAGAGAGTGCCCTAGCTAGTTGAGATGTAAAATTCCACTTATGGCGTCATGGATTTCTCTGCTTTCTGAACGCATTCTGTCGGATGTCGTGAGGGCACCGGAGAGTGTAAACCCAACTGAACTCGCTGCGGCCCTCAACGCGCTCAACAACGCCATCGACTATTCCTCTCGTACATATGGAGGCCGTTTATAAACGGGTGTATTGCCAGAGCCTTGCACACACTACAGCAAGCTCGAACAACCGTCTGATCGTACTAGCACTGAATGATTACGATTCTCGAGCAATCGCTCGAAACCTTGAACTACATTACTTCCAGACGCGGTTCTTGCGCTGTCGTCAACCCAAAGAGCCTTCGACCACGACTGGCTACCCCTTGTCCGACAAATTCTTAACCGAACGTTCTGAAGAGACAATAAAGGATTTTTCCTCTTACCAGGCGCTAAGCAGGAAGCCCGTAACAGTGGCGCCTAGCAAGCAGGGAGCTGCGGTCAGCGCCTCTGACCCGGCCAAGGTGGGTGCCACGTAGTAGACCAGACCCGCGCCAGCAGTGAGCGCAGCCCAGGGAATGAGCTCAGTCAAGCTGTCGAAGCAAGAAGGAAAAGTTGGTCACAGATTCTTCTCAGCATCTGGCGACCGGGCGAGGAGTTTCGAAAATAAGCCGACAAGTCCTGGTTTTCATCAAGACTTGTAAAGCAAATGTGGTTTGGAAACAAGACTTCTTGGTCGAAGGTACAGTACGACGTCGATCGGCACCCCCGGACAACCGAGCCAGTGGCCAAGTCTCACCTCAGTGGCGACATCCAGGAATTTTCGAGACTGCCTATCTTCTTGAGACTCTGGTAACTAGTGCGAAAAGTGTTCGTCTTCGTTCTCTGCTCATGTAGCGTCACACAGACCATGACAGCAGCTCTGTTTGCTAGGCATAACAGTCGAATTTCCTTAGCGGAAATTACACATTGTTGGGGAGCTTACGTGTAAGGAGCCACGTTAGGCATGTGCTCCGCAGACCGCAGTCGGTCGCTGGGCTTGAGTCTTCGCACCAACGTAGCCAAACCTCCCGCCTGAAAAAACGAAGTGACGAGGCCAACCACTGCACCAGACGCAGAAACGCTTGAACATTTCGAGAATCAGAGTGACAAATCGTTCTTTGTCAACATCGACATTGACTGTTCCGTTTATCTCAAGAACGATAATCTGCAGATGTGCAGTCCCGGACGACAATGTTTAATCAAAAGCCTTCAGCCCTTTCTCGCACTGCAGCCTTCAGAGACCAATAAATGGTTGCAGCCCTTGTAGGAAACAATCTGAGGGGTGTATCAATCTCATGAGCATTTTCGAAAATATTTCTCACTTCAGCAACACTTCTGTTTGCGCAATCAAATGGGAAAAGCAGTCGTAACCTTGACCGCACATTCTTCCTGATGAGAGCAGCGTGTAGGATTCTCATCATGATGAAGCTGGCAATTCTTACCTAGCACTAAGACAATCTTGATTCCTTCCACCACTGGAATGCTCCGCAGGACTTGCGGAAGCATCACAATGGCGGGGGTGTAAAAAAGGGGCAGCCATCTCTGGAGGAACTCCGTCGCAGGTCCGAAGAACGCGATGACATCACGGGCAAAGGGCTGGCTGGCTTGGTCGATGACCAGGAGCGCTGAGGTCAGCAGCAGGCAGCCAACCAGGGCGCTGGGGAGTGCGGCGTTCGGGAGGGCAGATTGAAGTGCCTGATCTGCACCCAAAAGAGCAGTGGTCAATTGTCATGTCAAGGGCTTGGTTAGTTCTTTGATTGCACGGGAAGGCTGTTCTTTTAGTTCACCAGAGAAACCTCTTCGCAGCTCCCACGTGAGCTATCCCAATGAAGGTGGCCCTCAAGTACAAGATCCATCATGTCACATCCCATTCCGCACTGGAAGAATGAAGTGCCCCTTTTAGCTAACTGCAATAAGACTCTCTCCGTGCTTTCCATCAAACATTGATGGTGGATTGCGTTCCTGAAATAGACCAACCATGATGATTGTGAGGGGAAATAAGCTCAAGCAGACTCGGTCACTTTGAAAACAGGTCTTTCAAGGTGCTCACTTGCAAAAGAGATGCAATGCCGTACTTGTATCACAACTCTGGTTTCCGCTTCAGCCCATAAAAAACCTCATACACCAATTGTCCTACCTGCTGCCACCAGCACTGCTAACCCCAGGGCTACTTTTGTAATGCTGCCCTCCTTCCTGTGTCCAGACAGTTGCTCAGACAAATCCGCATCTAAGCTGGCTTTTGGCACCATCCGCCGAGAGCTTGCGGCAGCTAGTGGAAAGTTCTTCTCCTTACTGCTACTGGATTTCTTAACCCTCCACCGAAAAGGTACGAATTGCCGCTGAAGTGGTGCATAATGCCGGTTGTCAGCTAAGCTGGCAATTGGAGCGATACACTGATGAACAGCATGCCTTTCCCAGCTTCTCAGATTCACTGTCTGGCATTTGTGAGCTTGAAACGCTTTTGGAACTGCAGCTTCATCAGGATTTGAAGGCCGCGTCCACACCAGCGAACAGGTGCCAGACCGATCAAAGCAATGCTGTATGGACTGCATCTGGTCTGCATGCACAGCAATCCCTTTGAAGGAGGTGATGGGGAAGGAAAGCGCTCAATAAGAAAACGCCCAGCGCAAATAGAAGCGCGGCAGAGTTGGACGCCATTGGCAGAGGGCTGGCACAGCCAAGCCGGCAGACATGCCACCTCCAGGTGGCAGTGGTATAGAAATCCTTCTGGCAATTGCACGTACGACAGACGTTCGATGTGGATCACGGATTCTTATATATGTCACACATGGTGTATCGAAATCGAAATCGAATTATAATAAGAGTATTGGCCCTAATTCCGGAATTTCGCAGTTCCGGACGGGTAAAGCAAAAACCTTATTCCGGACATAACAGATTAGGTCGGTAAGTTGACACACGGTGTCCGGGATAGCGTTCGAAAAATCCGGAATTGGAACTGGTGAAAGCCCCAGCGTGCTCGGTAGACTGCTTTGTTAGGTCCGGAATAAGGTTTTTGCTTTACCCGTCCGGAATTGCGAAATTCCGGAATTAGGGCCGATACTCTTATAGACTGACATGTATATATGTAAAGCCTGTAACGCTTTCGACAAATTGCATCGAAGCTGTCTCGCGAGTCGCGATGGTTCACGACAGGCAAGAACATAGGAAATCGACACGTGTCCACGACATCCCTTTTAGGAGTTGAGTCCCGAAAGACTGACGTTCCTGCCAGGCCACTCGAACCCTGGACTCGAGCCGTCCGACCAAACTCTTTGCCCACTGGGCTAACTAGATTGGCAGCACACTGTGCTGCACTCGGCATGCCATAATATCGTTTTTGCGCCGAGCTGGTTCAACGGTTCAGACCGTCGATGTCGATGTGCAAATTCAGGCCGGAGGGTTCCGAGGCGACGGTTGTACCCCCTGGAACAGGCTGGAAATGCAATCGACGGCCTGCGACTTTTGAGCACACGTGCGGATCTCCATCGGAGGGCCTGCGACCGTCGGCCGACCTACAATAATCGCACAAAACGACAAACAGTCGTGAATCTACTGTAAGATTTTATAGTGCCAGGTATGAGCAGCTACTCCGAATACCCTGCCCGCTCATACACCATCTTTGCTGTGGCCCATCGAACCTCCTGGAAAAGCGGTCGACCGGACTCTTCTCGCATAAGAGATTTGACGGATTTTTAAGGGTAATAAGGCGGACGAACAAGCGAGGGTCCCTGGGAGGTGGTCGCCACCCATTTTGCGACGTCGTACTGCGGCATTGCACGACACCATTCCGGAGGCTTTCGCCATTTTCAATAGTAACGCGTACGCTCGCGCGCACACTGGCGCACACTGGACAGCAGAGAAAATGGCATGCCAAAAAGAGCGCGTGCGTTTGCGGAACCTTCCAAATCTACCGTATATAATAAAAGTCATTAGCAGTGTACGGCCGTAAATCCTGGAACCGATATCGACGACCGTCATTCCTTACACGTGGCAGATTCCTATGTTCTTGCCCTGTCGCAATAGCACGAGAGCAGTTTCAACGTTCGACGCGGTTCGGTACGCTTAGTCGATATTCTGCGCTCGTCATCCAGAGTCAGCTCCGAAGATATCTACACTTCCGTTTTTTTTCGATCCGTCGCTTTCAAACCCCAGTGGATCACGATGGCCAGGACGCTATCTTGCGTCATATCTGATCATCGGACGGCTGCGGACTGAGAGGGCAGTAACTCCTGGTCAAGTCTATCTTTTGTGAGCACTTTTTTGTGCCGTCGATAGGGTGCATTAGGTACCGTCGATGGTCAGGGATACAAACGACCCCTTTGACGATCCGATCGGATCGGCAGCGGGTCTCACCGCTGGTACGTACCGGGTCTGCATCATGTAACCCACAACTTGACGCATTCATCCTTCCGACATCACCGTTGGATTCAGGCGAGAGGAGACCTGCCGGGCCGCAGCTCCGTTCGATGATGGCGCTGAAGCCCCATCATTGTGCATGGGCCATGGAAACGGCACCGCGGCTGCCCGGTACTTACTGGTGCACCTGACCAAAACCGTGAATTGCGCATAAGGTATGTACCGTCTTGAGAACGTTCTTTGAACCAGCCTGCTGAGGTTGCTCTACGGTCTGCACCGTTGACGGGTACCGTGCATACCTGGGCCTTTTTGGTACGTACCGTAGACTTGTGGTACAGTGTACCGCAGTCTTCGACGCTTGGAAATGGATATAAGAGGAGAGCCGCACCTGCAGACCACTCAAGCCGTCAAGGTACCGTACACAGGGGTTCATGGTGGTTCATGGTGGACTCGTGGCATTGCATCTTCCTCAAATACAAGCAACTTCCGCTAGCTCAGCAACCTCTCGAAAGGAGGACGGAGAGCGCAAGCTGCGTGCTTATCAGGTTCAAAGTGCCGTCTGCGGGGAGGTTGTCGGTGGGAGCACAGTCAGCTTGCAGGATTTGTTCTGGGTTTGAAGAACGCGCTTCCCAGATTTCCATCTCAACACTTTGTGAGTTTACTTAGATCTCAAGAGCTGCACCTAAGCAGGAGGACTTTTAGAACCCCTGTGGTGCCCCAGGCGCTCGGCTGGAGGGATGGATGTTACGATGTAACCATCAGAGTATCCTAGCTCGGCCTCTGGGCCAGGGCACCTCAAGAAAAGCCTGTTGGAGAAAGGATTAGCTCCAAGCCTTTAGCCTTGTGCCAGGCGTGTTGCCTAGAGACTAGTTTAATAGCGGAGGGTGGGGCCTCGCCAGCAGTCTAGCCTTTGTCCAATATGGGGGCAGGTTTAGAAGTTCTTCTATCGAGGTACCTTTCTGCGGACCCATGATTGGTCCAGGCAAAACTCGTGGGGCTTTGCCTCTGAGCTGTGACAAGAGTGTCGCGCTTGGCATTGTCTGTGTACCCCAGAGTTCCGCAGGAGGCAGCAGGTCTGGAGTCAGCAACAGCAGCAAGGAGTGGGCCTGCCGTGTTGCGGCGGGGCCTCGGCATGGCTCCAGACCTTTCTGGACCTGTTATCTCGATGCCTATGATGTCGCCCGCGCTGGACCAGGTAATCATCGCAGGTCTACGAAGGTCATCTGCAAATCTTTTAAAATGGTGTGGTGATTGAGGAATCTGCATTCTTGTGAATGTTGGGTTAGTTGCTCTGAAGAGCGCGCCTAAGTAAGGTATTTTGTCGTGTTTCAGTATTTATTCACAAACATATGATCGGATTCATTTGTATTACTGGCCCTCATCAAAACATGTCCGTCATCAGGATATGTTGCTTAGTTGTTCTGCTTTGTCTGAGCAGCTGTGTAATGTTTGGTCAGCTATTGGGTTTGGTATACCTACAGCTATCACAAAGTTCCATTCTGATCAGTTTGAGTAGACGAAGGAGTAGTTCCAGGAAACACTTGTTTTAGAGTATGAGTTATTTGCATCTGCTTCTCATTTGCACCTGCTTCGATTGTTGTACAAGCAGTTCAAGATGTATAGCACAGGGAAGAAGCCGCCCCCATATTGTAGGGGCGAGTAATTGACAAATACCTTTCAAAGTTATGCAGGGATACTCGTCGAATGTCTGTGGTGTTTTGGCCAACTCCTGTTGTGTTTGGATTGTAGACTTTTCAATGATTGAACCGGACTTTTCTAAGCCCTGCACCAAACTTTTTCTAGGCCCGGCAAAGAAAAGTCTAAAAAGTGGACTTTTATCGCACTCAGTATCAGGATTTCCTCTGTGTGGCCATCTTCTGCAAAACAACCTTTTCTCGGAACCTTCTGGATTGGACGTCCAGCAGGGATGCCTAGTTGTTGATGTTTTCGCGGGTTCTTGGGTTATCCAAGATATGGACCATACGGGCCAACGGCACCCATCATTGCAACTGTGCTTTCTGTTTCAGGCTGGTCTTCAATTGAAATGTGGTCAGGCATAGCGGCAAGTAGTTCGGCTTGAGCTGAGACCAGAGCATTTTTTCCACAGTAGCTTCTTCTCCTCCTGTGGGGTGTCCATCATATGATCAAGTCCTTGTTCTCTTTTTCCGTCAGCAACTTGGCTTCGGAGACAGCTTAGTGAACCTCGATTTGTCCAATCTGTGTGCACTTGCATGAGTCTCGAGTGACATCTATTTGAAAGAAGCATTTGAAGCCAACAGAGGCAGGAGGAAACCACATTGGATCGGCAAGCTTTGTCCATTTTTTGGTGTAAAAAGCCTTCTGAGTTGAAGGTACGATGTCTGCCGATATCGTCCAAATAATGGTCAATAACGAGTTGATCACATAATGACAAAGCGGAGAACCTGGAGAAAGAAAGAAACAGAAGCGCGCAGCAGCTGTTTGTAAGAAGCCCTGCTATCAAAAGCCATGGCCATGCATAAGAAGGCTCACTTCATCACAGCGACCCATTGTCTGCAGGTTGGACAGGAGCTCAAGTGGCAGCGGCAGGTTGGTCGCCGGCGGATTTTCATCCAGACTGAGTTTGGCGATGTGCTGGGCCTTGAGGTGGACCGCGCAGAGAAGGCTGGCTCACTCAAGAAGAAGCTCCAGACTGCATTCAACATTCCCACCGAGCATAGCGAGCTCGTGTGCGGGGACCTGGTGCTCGAGAAAGAACTTACGGAAGTCAGGCGGGATGCCCCTGTCCTGCTCACCAGGGGGGGGTTGTCTCGCTCTCAGAGCAGCCCCTGCTTGACCCCCCCGTCGGCTCGATCGTTCCTGAAGCAGGACCAGGGAAAAGTGATTGAGGTCGTGGGGGGCGGGAGCTGTGCTGGAAAGCTGAAGAAAGTGCTGAGGGAGGCGGTGAAAGCGATCGACGGCGGCGTCATTCCGGTGCGCACGACGGGGGGCCTCGGGGGGGCGTATCTGCTGCAGAATACAAGGGGGGATTGCCTGGCGATTCTGAAACCGGGGGATGAGGAACCGTTGGCCCCCAACAACCCCAACGGTTTTGTGGGGCGGTCTCTGGGGCAGCCTGGCTTGAAGAAAGCAATTCGAGTGGGGGAGGCTGCCGTCCGAGAAGTTGCGGCATATCTTCTAGATCATGGGGGCTTTGCAAATGTCCCTGAGACCGTGCTGGTCAAGTGCACGCACTCGTGCTTCCATCTAAACAGCCCGCGCTCCCTCGGGCCTGGAAAAGGCTCTTTGCCGGTGACGAAGCTGGGGTCGTTTCAGGAGTACAAGGAGCACGACTTTGACTGCAGCGAGCACGGCACGTCGCGCTTTCCGGCGTCCGAGGTGCACAGGATCGGGATCCTGGACGTACGGCTGCTTAACCTGGACCGCCATTCAGGAAACATTTTGGTGCGAAAGCTGGGGAGGAAGGAACTAGAGGCAAGGCGTTCGGAAATGGGGAGAGAGGCGACCGTGGATGCGGGCGTGGAGCTGATTCCCATTGACCATGGGTACTGCCTACCCGAGATGCTGGAGGCGGCCTACTTTGAGTGGCTACACTGGCCGCAGGTGAGCTTGGTGGTTTCTTCCCTCTTCTGCTTTTGCATCTCTGTTTCATGATCCCGTATGCTGTTGGGCAGGCTTCTGAGTCCCTTCACTTGCATGCTTCCACTGCTGTTCCTGCTACTATGCTTAGGCGGTGATCCCGTGCTGATGCTAGGCTTATTCTATTCACTTTGTATTCCTCCCCGTAAGAGCATCTGGAGAACATGCAGAGTGCCTAATAACAGAGTTTAGAGGTTAGATCAGCATATACATATTGAAGCCGTGCTTGTGTTCGAAGCAGGCATCGTTGTTCTCTCCGAGCAGCATGTGGCCACAATCCCCAACATCTACCACGAAGATGAAGCGGAATCAATGTTCAGAGAAGACAACCAGCACTGACCATTGTGTCCTATGTGCAGGCGTCGCTGCCCTTCTCGGAGGAGCACCTTGCGTACATTGCTGCGCTGGACCCGGCCCGCGACGTGGAGCTGCTGCGGCGGGAGCTGCCGATGCTGCGCGAGGCGTGCCTGCGCATCCTGCACCTCTCCACGCTCTTCCTCAAGCGCGCCGCAGCCATGGGCCTCACGCTTGCTGAGATTGGTGCCATGATGAGCCGCGAGTGCGCGGGGCTGGAGGAAGAAGCGAGCGATTTTGAGGTAGGCAGCAACTGATTGGTGCATCCCAACCAAGCCTAAGGGGTGGTTGGTGTCTGGACGTGCTAGCATTGTCTCGAAGATGAGGTTCGTTCGTATCTAGAGTAGGTCTCTTGGGACATGTGCGGAAAGTGCAAAACAGCTGTAGTAGCCAAGAGTGTCGTTCATAGAACTGTTGCTTGTTGGATACATTTTCTCATTGGATGATCTGTGTAAGAGGGTGTGATTGAATGGAGAAGAGCAGTAGGATTCAATGTTGGATGTCGTGAAGGCATCGCTTGTACTTTGGCGGTTTTGGCTGTGGGGGAGAGGCAAGAAAAGCATATTCGAGAAGGGAAGCAGGCCGTTACAGCTTCGAAGAGGCCATCGCGAGCCCCTTTCTTAGGTTCATTTCTGTCTGTCGTGCAGCTGGTGTGCCAAGCGGCCAAGCAGCGCCTGGAGGAGGACCTCGCCGCGTTTCGCCCCGAAGACCTCGCCTCCGACCACTTCTCCTCGGAGGGCCTCGACGACTTCCGCGACGAGGAGCTGTCCAGCGTCCAGTTCGACATGGACGAGGACGACACGTGGCACTCCTCCCTCTCCCCCCGCTCCGTCTCTGGGGGCCAGCTGTCACCCCTTGCGTCTTCCCGGGGGACGTTTTCGTACTCTCCCGCGTCCCCCTCCGCCGGTGACAGCCGCGCCTCGAGCACTTCGCCGTTCAGCGGGGGCTTTGCAAACACGACGCCCCCGCCGGGAAGGAACGCGCAGTCGCCCCCCCAGAGGAGCTCCGGGCTGACCACCCCGGCATCGCGGAAAGTCGGTTTCAACGCCCCCCTGTTGCGCCTGGAAGAGATGGAGCCGCTGAGGGAGGCGTCTCCGCCTGTATCGTCGAGCGTGTGCCACAGTGCCATGGGGCTGGGGAGCTCGATCTTCAACCGAAAGGGGGGGCATCCGTTCGGTCGTAGCACCAGCTCGAGGAACCCCCACGGGCTGAAGTCGACGGCGGTGCGACGTGAGACGGTGCTCAACATTCAGGGCGGGGCGATCTCGTCTCCGTACGCAGCACACGAAGTTGGTGAGTCGCGGCGTCCCTGCCCTCGTATGGTGTAAAACGTGCACGTGCTTCCGGTGTTTGCGATCTCAGTTTAACCTGAGCCGATGTCGACTTTGGTGCCAGCTTCTATGGGAGGTTCTGGTCCGGGGACAGACAGCAAGGGTCGCAGTCTTCATGAGCTTTCAGTTGGTGAAGATGTAAAACTGCCTATCTCAATAACCAGCTCGACTACGTTTGCTTCGCGAGACAATTTAGCAGCTCAGTTGCACCACATCAGCCTTCTAAAGTGCTGCTTATATGCATGCTTTTGAAATCAAACTCTTAAGCGCGTTTGCCTTCCTGTGCGTGCAGTGGACCAGCCAGGGGCGGAGGGGCCCTTGATCCTCTCCAACATCCCGTCGCGGGCATGGCCGACCTTCCTGCATTACTTTTGTGAGCTGATTGACGATAGTCTGGCTCAGCGCCGCCGCGAGAGCAACTTGCGGATGGCGCGCCTAGGAACCTCCTGCAAGTTCTGATGTAACAGTATGGCATCCAGTTTGTTGTCGGGTCAAAAAGGACGGGCATGTAGCTTGGAACGCCTGCAGGAAGTCTCCCGAAATGCACGGCGTGCATTAGTTTCTTCTCATTGTATTTCTAACTGATATTGATTGGGTTCGTCGTGAACGTGGGCAAGAAGTAGGGAGTCGTTTGCAGCGCAGAAGGAGTTGAGTCGAAGTTGTAATAACGTACAGATCATGTAGGTCGAGGGATAGATTAGCTGAGTCTACATTTTGGGTCTCGAGAACGTGACTAAGAGTTCCCGCAATGTATAAGCTGACTCACTAGCTGTCCATATTGAGGTATTTGGCATTGGCCGTCGTTATCTTCCTTTTGCCACACTTAGCAACGTAATTGTTGGTTTAGGCATTATCAGTGCATGCATTGGCACTAATGTGCCATGATCTGCTCAGTGAATATATCACAAGTATTGCAGCCCGCCGCGGCAGCGGGGCACATTTTTGGAACTCAGTGACCATTGATATCATGAGTAAGTAACCGTCTCTCGGACTATCCTGGTTTATAATATATCCGAGAGCTAGCTCTGATCAGCAGGCTGGTTGCGCACCGCGTGCCATCACGTCACTAGGATTCAGGTTAGTAATAGGCGTTATAGTGACACGGACATACATCAATTACCGTCTAGTCAATATATCCTGTACGTCGAAAAAGTGCCCGCGTCTCAGCACGTACTGGCACATAAAAGACGATGCACATGCATGCTGAGCAATCATTGCACGGGACACGTACGGTGCGGAATTCGATAGCTGCATTTCAGTCGGTCGGCGCGGCAGGTTACCGAGTACGGACCTAGGCTCCCAACCCTTGACCGTCGGTCGGACCGGGGCAACTTCCCCGGATCCGACCTACCAGCTATCCGGAACTTTCTGGCGAAAATATCTGGTTTGCCGGAAATATGTCAAAATTGCCCCAATTCGCCAGTGGAAATGGTGGAACTTTAGTGCACCATTGTGCTGCCTTGGAGAGGGGCATCAAGCCGCTCTTTTTCATAGATGGTGGACAAAGTCCTTCCTGTCTGCTGAGAAGAATCAAGATCACCTCTTCGGATCTAAAACATAGGCTTTGTGGGTAAGAAATGAGTCGAGTGCTGACGGCTCAGTGGACGCCATTGTTAAGGCGACTCTTCCAGCTCCTTCGGACACAGGCCCTGTTTTTGACAGGATGTCGAATTCGGGCCCCGCTATTTCGGCCGAGCATCAAATCGCAAGGCCTCGGCCAATTTGACCAACCGGGTCGTAAAGGAGATGGGGGAGGTGGACTTGGTGTCGAGCTCCCCTCAATCTAGAGTCTTAAAACTCGAGTCTGCTGCAGTCTTCCCTACCTTCAATTTCAAATACCGCCGCTTCATAACACATAGATCCATAATGCACATGTGAGCCCCTGGCAGTCGAGAACCAGCTGCATTGATTCTCCTTCAGGGTTCTTTCTGCTGTGCTTCTGCAGCTTTGAGTTTTGCTACTAAAGTTCCGAGCGACCAGCATTCTTGCCACATCCCATATCATTGCCAAATAGTGCTATGTGTGCATCCGATTGCAGTTTGATTGATGGTGCACCGGTTGGAGCTGCTAAATCTGATGCTCTAAAGCATAGAGTCTGCCATTAGGGGCACTTAAGAGCAAGCTCTCAGAAAGTGCGTTGTCTTTAGACTACCAGGGAAGGCTAAGGACTGAAGGGGGGCCCGCAAGCTATCAGGTTGATTGCAAGTTCTGCTGTGCTTCATGTGCTTTTGAATATCTCCAAGACAGAGCAGGAGGTGAGTTGCTTTTGAAACAGGCAAGGGTCACCCTCATTCAGTCCACTTTCGCATTCATCCTAACCTTCGATCTCATATACTAGAGCAGATTCTAGGGCTCTTCCTCAACCTGCTCAAGAGATCTTGAAGCTTGAAGCATCTCTCCTGTCGGTATGAGAGCTGAAGCCAACATTAGACCATAGGAGTCTATTTCTTTCTAGTGAAGCTGCAGGGACTGGACGGAGTTGGGCAGTGCTTTTGGCCTGAGCCTTGTTCACCCTGGATCCTTGTCTGTCATTCAGCTCTCAATGCTTCTTCATACCAAGATTTGAACTGTGGCTGATTGCAATGAATCTGCTCAAGACTCAACAGAGGGCAACTGAAACTAGGATCGGATTAGACTTTAGTTTCTGATGTGCATCTGGGTATGTGCTTGGCAGTCTCAGCCCTTTTCATCAATGCTAGATGTCTAGATATGAACCAGCTTAATGAGGTGGAAATTGGGTAATATGAGCTGACCTGAAAGCATCATTATTGTGCAGAACTTCAAGATTTGGAGGTCACCGTTACATTAGCTGCCGGATTGGGGGCAGTCTAGCTCAACTCTGAGTCTTTGTTCCTGGCGGCCTATCAATCTGCGCGAAGGTGGGTTTGACAAGACTTCGCGTGTTACGCCCACTCTACCTTCAAAAAAGGACAGCACGCATAATGTCTGCGAGTCAATTCTCTTGCACAAGCTGGTGGGACAACTTTGGAACATCTCGGAAGGTCCTTGAGCTGGCTCCCTCAACCTGAGCCCTTTCTTGTGAAAGGGATCCCCGAATACACCTTCAGTTACAGCCTTTCCTTCTCAAGGGCTCTACAGCAAGAATCTGAACATGAGTACCTGGTACATCGTCTCCTGCGGCCTTGTGCACCCGGTATAGGGCTATGAGGCTAGGGCGATCCACCCTTTACATACGTGTGCAGTTAGCAGGAGCCCCTGACGCACTATCTATCTGCTTATTATGTTTGTTCTCCTTTGACAGCCGCAAACAAAAGAGCTGGCAGCTGCAATCTGGTAAAAGAGATTGCAGGGGGTGCAAGTAGAGCAAGCGTCGCTGCGGTCAGCAAAGCAAGCACGGCTGCGTCCAGGTCGGTGATCCACCCACAGTGATTTCTTAATGTGCTCAAGCTGCTTCTTCCAGCAGCTTGGGCGTCGCTAAGATCGTTGACAATTACCTTTGCGAGCACGTATGCATACGAGCCCACCTGATCCGCTTGACATACTGAAGAAACTGATTTGTCCATGAAGGTGATTGCTTCAGTATGTCTGCCAACCTTTCCAAGCTCACGGCTCTTAGGTTCAGCTGTACAAACATTTGGCTACCAGCTGAGCAAGCTTCTGGCCTTGTGTGGTAGGCTTACCGATTCTGCATCAGATCAAGCACATCAATCCGGTACAGCAACCCATGCGCACATAGGGATTGCGTCTTCCAGGGCTCACGACTTTCAAACCTTCCTGTCCAGATCCCCTTCTTTGCTGACATCATCAACGCTGCGGGCAACGTGGTCAACACTGGTATTGTCGTGCGGCCTGAGGTGCGCACCTCTCCGCAGTGGCGTCTTCCTGGCAGAGTGAGAGGCAGCTTGCAAAAGTCATTCCCAGAAGAGGTGCTCAAAGGGGAAATTAGCATTGATGTGTGGACCGGAGTGCCTGTCTCTTCAACAAGTGCTTTCCCGGCTAAATGCATTCAGCAAGCAATCAGCACTGGCGCAAACACATGTTGGCATTTGCTTGAGAAGTGACGGAGCTTATGATCTAATTGCATACAGGGCCCCTCGCTTCCGAAGCCCCTCGCTTTCAAATCTGCGGCAGCCACCAAGTCAGTCAGCGTCCGGTCAGTTAACAATCTTTTGCTTGTGTGCTCTTGCTCAAAAGCCAAGGCTTTCATGTTAGTGTCTCGTTGTCCCCCTTTCTATTCTTTAGAATATTGCGGCGTGCCTGCTTTTCAACTCTGCAAGTCTGCAACTTCGTCCAAAGCTTTGCTTGAGTTTGTCAAAGGGATGATTCTGTACCTTGCTCTCACCTTCTTACGGCTATCTCAACAGGATCTGTGGGTGGTGTTCAAGACAAGCTGTGTATAGCATTCCAGTTACATTATCTTTTGTTGACGGGCTGACGCTCAAAGTGATCAATGATGTCACAGCATTTCTGCTCTTTGCGAATCCAGTAGGGAATCCAACCAGGAGCCTGCATTTCCCACCATCTTCCAAAATTGCGTTCTGTGCGGCGTGTCCTTGAAGCAAGGCAGAATATCGAAAGTTTTGAGGTTTGTGTCACTGATAATCGTTTGTTCTTTTGCATCTGAACTTCAGGTCAAAGGTCTGGTGCCCCTTATCCGGGCGCGACAACTGAGGCCTTGCACGTCTTGAGATTGGAGGTGTCGCTTGCATATTTGGTGCTACCTACAGCGGGGTAAGCCATGCTTCAGTTCAATTCAATTCACTTCATTGTGACGAAAATAAGGTCCATCTTGCTGGCCGCTAAAGCCTAGGTTTGGTTTCAGGCTGTCTAGGCTGTCAAAAGGTGACAACTCTCGCAAGGACTCCGCATCAGTCGGATCAAAAGAATGGACAAGCAAGCTCAAAAAGACTCCGTTTTCAGTCAAGGTCATTCCCCGGGGGTCATTCTCGAGTCGTTGCTCTAGTGCTGAATACTCTCCGTATGCTTGAGCTGTTTGCGCTCATCTTCTAGTGGGCTGGACGCCCCTCAGTCACTTGTCATGATGACTTGAAGTAAAGGTCCTTACATTTTCCAACTCCCAGACTGTGCGCGCGCATTCTGGATGGCTGGGACTACTTCGTCGAGCTCGCTGGTTGATGGCCACGTGGCCTTTCACGGATTTTGGAAAGTGAACCCATATGCGGAGCCACGGCCTGGACACTTCGATGCCCCGGGATACTTTTTGTTCCCCCATCTTGACCCCGCCCAATTTCGATTGGATGATGTGTGGGTGGCTGTGTTATGCGACAATTTTGTTGCGCGACCGCGTGGCCATCCTAACCAGACCGAGAGAAGGTTTGACCTTGCTTGGGCAGCTTATCTGATTGATATGCACCATAACTTATCGGGAGGGGCCGGTCATGTTTACAACAGCGAGAAGTCGTTGGGTGTGGCGTTGATGCGCGCTTTTGAGAAGAGGAACGAGGGTCCGACTGGGGGTCGAGTGGGCAGATTCGGCATTTAGCTGGGACAGCAGTTTCGGGGCGGGAGTGCCCCCTATGGTCTCATCCTGGTCCTGAACGATGCACTTTTATGTTTTGTGATGGAGGGTCGTCTCCTACGGCTGAAGATGACGGGCTGGCTTGGATTGATGAGGATGCTTCGACTGAGGCTGTAGAGCCTGTCGCTGAGGATGGGGATCTTGGGACGTCTTTTGGGCTGGACGGGATTAATGATTTTGAGATACTGGATGATGAGACCGCAGAGATTCTGAGGGATGCCGAACCGAACTCCGGCGAGGCATCCGATGATGCTAACAAGCGGTTGTGCGAAGCCTACAGGCGGCTTTACACAAAGCATGGCCAGCGTATGGCCTTGAAAAATCTGAGGAATACAATGATGCCCCTCTCAAGGCTAATTGCTTGGATAGCTTGCAAGAGCTTGTCCCAATATACCACGATGAGGACTATCGTCCAGTTTGCTGCTCGGAAGCCCTTTTCATATACGGATTGTGCAAGTGGGGAGTGGCGGGAGGTGGAGACATTCTTGTGCGCTCGGCTTATTGTTGCTGTTTACTCGGACGCCTCGCCCGATATCTTTAAGTGGTCCAAGTTGAAGTTCCTCGAGGACCCTGACAATCAGGAGTTGGTCGACCAGACCGTAAGGGATTGGAAGGAGGCGGTATTTGACCACTTCGCTTTTCACGAGCTCGCACCACCTGTGCATATTGCCCTCATCTCGGATACTCGCCATTGTCGAGGAAACAATTTCCTCCTCGTTTTCCGGGCCGTTGATCACGCCGTTTCCGCCAGGTCTGACTCTTTGGAGATTGGCGACTGCCTTCTGCGTATCACTGCAGTTGTCAATCGGAGGATGAGACTGAGGCTTGGTGGGGGCCTAGTCATGCCTGATCTCTTGTCGACTGCTGCTCAAGCGTCTCTTGCTGCGAAAGACGAGACCGCCGACCTGTTTGACTACCTTATAGACAACGTGTCCCCCTACGAATATTTATGTGAAGGGGGGATCAGGGTGATGCAAGAGAAGGCTGTGCGGGTTTTGCATTGTGATCCTGCACTAACGGCGGACATGGTCGCCCAATACTTCGTGGAGACTGCAGGCGTTCGTCCCGCTCGAGTGCTGCGGGACTCGAAGTTCAAGCAAACGCAGCCTGGCTTCGTCACCTGGATTGCTGACTTTGCTCAGTCAGGGGCTGACTGCGAGGATCAGTTTCGAGACATTGATGAGGTTATGCGTCAAAATAACGGGACCTTTTTGCACCCAACTTTGGGCGAACACGCAATCCGATTACAACTCTTGAGGAAGCGAACACCAGGTTAGTTGAATTTTGCATAACACAGATTGTCTTCGGAGTTGGACGGACGGCTTCTTTGACTGGTCTTTGCCTCATTTACCTTGTGGTCTGCCTTTGGTTTTATCTAGTGTCGGAACAGCTGCCTCCTTATGTGCGGCATAAGCTAAGAGTTTCAATGTCTGCTTTGTTGAGATCTTTGCTCAGGTACAGATTGTGATGCGCGATTGATCCGGTTCACGGTGCTTGGCACTGGGTTCCTTTTCTGCCCGCTGTCTCCCTCTCGGTTCCCTCTGCTCTGATGTCTTTTGTTGTTCTCTAGGGCTCAGTATCCTTTCTCGTTCTTGAGCTCTTCATCTCGGCGACTTTTGAAACCAGAAAGAATTTATATCGATAAAATAGTGAAGGTTGAATAGCTCCGCAGGCAAGGTTCTTAACGCTCGTTGACCCTTCTCAGGTGGCCGAGCTTCCAAACCGTGGAAGATGTTGGAGCGCATCCAGGAGACAGCGGCGAATCGCCGTAACCTCCTGGAGTTGCACCCGGCCAGGCCAGCGCACGCGTCTATTTTAGAGTTCTGGGATGGCTTTGCCGCGCTGAAGAATAGTATGACCAATTTTCGATATACAATACTTTCCGCCGACTTGTACAAAGCTGCTAAATCGACGGCGGGACGAGGTTTTGACGTGCGCTCAAGCGAGGGGCAAGCGCCCCGTGCTCCTGTGTGCTTGACTCCTGCCGATCGGGAGGAATTGCACACATATTTTCCTCACCATCCGCCCTTCCCCTCTCACGTCCCTCTGGCACAGATGCGGCATCTTCATCAGGAATATTGCGCGCTGGTGGGCTTCGAACATAACGGCCAGCGTATCCTCGCCCCTATTACCAGTTCTACAGGGGATATCAAGGCCAATAACCACCTTCTCAGCCAAGATAACCGGTGCCCTTGCTGCCAAATGCCATACGCTGACTACTACCATCATTTCTATTGCGGCGCCCACCGCTCTGCGTTTACTAACATGGAGGACTAACGGGGTTTCTTGGAGGAACTTGCCGATCTGATCGCCTTCGCTGGGACCAGCGACGCCGTGTGCAAATCTCTAAATGAGGTGCACGGCCAGGAGCTCTTTGATAGGGTTCTTGTGCTTGCTGCTGCGCAGCTTACAGCTGCAAAGGCGCTCGAGGAAGGTGGAGGGCTGCCAAGCCCCATTCTCATTCGAAGAGCGACGCTCTTTGCTGCATTCTCAGCTGCGCCGGACACTGTCGCTCTAGGGAAAATATTGGAGGGTAAGCTCGGCGACAGCAATTTGAGGTACAGGGCCGGCCGCGGCGAGTCGTTTGACGAGGTGATGGCGGTGGGAGTAAACCCTCTGGCCAAATCGCGCCTTAAGACCCTGATGGTATTTCTAAAACGGCGACACCATGACGTGTTGGGACTACCAATTGATTATCTTTATCCTCGGAATCCTCTTGTCCCCGTCCCCAGGATAATATGCGCTCCGATGCACACTGTGATGAGGACGCTCAAGATTCATCTCAGCCTCATCCAGAGCGTTGGCATTGGGACAGCGCCTGACGGGCCAGGCGCGAAGGAGTCTCTTGATATATATGCAATGAACCAGGTTGGTGACTCTCCGCTTTGCTCTTGGATTTAGTTGTATCCCGTTTCTTTATCCTCTTCTTAGTTTCTCCAGGCTTCGCGTGTGACTGTAAGCGGATTGTGTCCCCTTTCGGTCAAGGTTCTTTTTGAGATATACTCTGAGTTCTGATCCGTTTGCCTTCCTTCCTTTGTAGAAGGCCCTAATCAACAGCCACTTACTCATGAAGGACGAGTCGAATCCTGGAGACCGTATCTCCATGGACTTGAACGGCGAATCTATTCGACTCGTCTTTAATCGGTGGCCTGATTTGGTTGGAGAGTTTTTGAGCCGGGTTCAAGCACTCCTTCCCATATTGGCGACCTGGACGACGAAGCTTATCTACAGCCACGAGCTCCCTACGGCTCGCTCTCGCTTGGCGTTATGGTGTCTCACATATGCCGAAATTACCGTGGCTCGAATCATGGACGACCAGCTTCGGGCAACGCAGACCAAAGACCGCAAGAACGTGGTCGTCTGCAATCATGCCCATGTGAAAGTTGCACACCTTCCACAGGTCCGACCTCGAACAAATCTCGCTTTGACGTTTGGTCCTTTCTGGCACTTGCAAGTACAAAATCAACAGGCCTCACTCAATACTTCGGCGCCTGTGTCACTTCGGATTTGGATTACATAGACTGTGACCTGAGCATTGGGTAGACTCGAGTGGCCGTTCATTCGGACCGACTGTCCCGACCCCTGATGTTCTCCGGGCCGTGCGCGTGCGACAACTTCAACTGTAAACGGTGATTTTGTGTCCGTTTTCCTTGGGCGATTAATGACACCTGTTCTCCGTTGTTTTACAGCTTCACGAAGCCTTCGATGTACCTCTAATTGACCTATCGGAAGAGGCTGGTGAACGGCTTCAAAAGCCGAATAAGGAGAGTATGTACAATAGGAGTGACCGGAAAACTGACCAGGTTGACACAATGATCAGGGAGGAATTCTACCGGGAGAAGGGGATGATTGAGTACGGGATGAGGATAACGGATCCCCACACAGGCCAGCCCAAGCATCATAATGCCTTTCAGGAAACAGTGGAAACTAATGTAATATATTATGGCTGCTTCTACAATTTTGATCAACCTGCGCGCTTCAATTTTGTCTCTCTTTTGGGCAACCTGGCTATGGGTCCCAGCGACTTGTTGGCTGATCAAGCTTACATATATTTGAGAGATCAAAGTCCGATTGAGTCCACGGAGTCTCCGGTGGCGCAGATGAACCTCCTCCAGCTTCCTCCCAAGAAGCCTTGCAAATGCACTTGCTTATGCCAGTGCGTACAGGGGTGCGCAAAGGCATGGCCTTGCAGATGCAAGTGTCGGGATGATTGCCGTGACTGTGCACACGGCAAGGCAACGGCTGACTGTAGCTGCTTATCATACCCACTTGTGGTCCTCCTAACGGGAAAAGGCGCAGGTAATTTAGTCTGCCACTAAGATCCTTGGACCCAGTGTTCAAATCTGAACCCTCGTTGGTGTGTCTGTTTTGGAAGGCTTTTGATTAAAGTTCACCGCGCTGTTTCGGACTGTTGATGTTGATTGTATGTATTGTGCTTGCAGGTACTGATCAATATCTGCATGTCCGCTTTTGCGAGAGCGGCGACCAAACAACCTGCAGCGCGCATATACCCGCCCTGGTTAGTTATTTGCGGGGCTCGAATGCTCTCCCCAGCCCTGGCAGGCTTATTCCCGCCAAGGACTATATCCTCGGCCAGCTAGCGACCCTCTGTAACGCTGCCGCGCGCCGGTTCAGACAACGCAACCTTGTGAAGCTTGGGTTGGAAGCACGGGCTCGGTTGGCTGAAAGTAAGTATTCCCGTCCGCACAAAGCTGGTCCAACGGATTGGTTCCGCTCGTTGGTTGCTGTTCTCGGCGAACTGCTAATCTCGTTGACCATCCTTTTGATTCTGCTGACTACCAGTTTCCGTCTATCGAAGGCGGACCCCGCCCTTGGGCCGCCCAGTTTCCTCATCCAGTTTCTTTGGGGGCAGGACGATCCGGTCCCTTGGATCCTGGATCCGTTTCTCTGGCGGATGACCGGAATCACCATTCAATCACTGCCTAAATCGTTCTATGACTTAGCTTCCGCTTTTCCGACGACTTTGTGTTACCTGAGTAACAAAATCCTTCTAATCTTAACTCATTTCGTCCGCTTGACTTTGGTTCCGCTCGCCAACAGCTGATTCTGCTCAGATTCCGTTCTTTCGCCATTCCGCTGAGTGCCGTTCTGTCGCTGGCCGCCGATTCTTATTAACTTGGGGCAGACTGAGATTCGTCCCGTCAGGCTTCCGTCCGCTGCTGGAATACCTTCTTCTGACTTCGTATACCGTCCATTGACAACAGATCCCGCTGCACTGTGTTCTGCGCTGGGCTGGTGGGCTTTGTCCACGCACCAGAGTCTTCGATCCGTTTTGCTTGACAAACCGGTCGACAGACTCGAGGTAGACATTAATAGCTTTCTGGCTTCTTGATGAGCTTGGCTCTGGTCCGCAATGTACGCAAAGGCGATTTCGCGAAGACATTCAAACACTTTGGGTCTCGTCTCAGGGGTTACTTTCGACTTCAACGAGCCAATCACAGGGCCTCCGCATGGTGGCACTCTGGTCACCATTCGGGGTAGGGGTTTTGGAACTCTGTGCACAGCCGAAGGCGGCCGCATTAGTGTGCGGGTCGGGGATACTCTAGCCACGGACGTGACCATCCTTGACGACACCAGTATAACTATTGTCACTCTGCCTGGCACCGGGGGTGATCGGCCGGTGGTTATTATTCCCCCGGTCTTCGTCCGATTGCATCCGGGGGATGAAGCAGGTCACTTGCTGGCCGGGCAAAGGATTGAGCTAGCAACGCGCTTTTCTTTTGGAGGTAAGACGGTTGCGGCGGAGTTTGACATCAACCGGGACTTCTTGACTCGATGTTTCAGGTGGCCGTACCTGGCTCTGTTTTGAATGCTCGCAAACCTTTGTTGGGCTGAGTATGATTGAAACGTCTTTTCAAATGGTCCCTTTCGTCTTCAAGTTCATATTTCCCTCTATTGAACCCGGCCACGGCAACAAAGACGAATTCCTAAGAATCAAACGGATGAACGCTTCTCACGTGTCAAGAGGAGAGAATCTGGACAAGCACTTTGTTGTGGCACTTTATTGGAAGCTCGTTCGGCCTTCTTAACCGTGCAATACCTCCCGATTTGCAGGTCCCACTGTCCACCCTCTCCCTCCAGATGTCCGCATCCCCACTGAAGGTGGCCCCCTTTGCGTCACCGGCACCAATCTGGACGATCCGGACTGCCTCATCTCGGCCGTTGTGCACGACCGCAGGGGCGCCATTGTGGCGGATCCGGAGCCCATCGACGTCCAAGTAGCTGTTGCGACAATCGGCGGAATAAGGCTCCATATAGGGCCTGGTCCAGGCTCTCTGCGAAAGCTAGAGTTGCGAAATAAACATGGGACGACTTACTTCCGCATGTCCTACCAAGGTACTGGTTCTATCACAAATTCTGGCCAAGGAGTCGACGATTGAAATGCGTCGTCTCTGACAGTGGCTAAAGTCGCTTTTGTCTACTTCGGTGCTTGAACTGCCTGCTGACGAGGATGAAGGGGGAATGAAGTTGGTTACTTGAGCCAAAGCCAGTCCGATATCAGTCCGTTGACCAGTCCGACTGGAATCACTTGTCGTAATTCTGCATTCATGCTATGTTCAGGCCCCGAAGTCACAGCCGTCGAGGAGGGCCGCGAATTGGGGACGGTGGGTGGTGCCAGATTGACCCTAGAAGGGCGCAACTTTGGTCGGCATGGGGACATTGAGCACGTCACTATCGGTGAGCAGCCATGCTGCGCCCGGTTGAGAGCTTTCTTAATAGTTTTGCTGCCCAAACAGTCGGTGTCAAGTGTCGTTTTGACACGGCGTGTTGATTCCTTGTTTGTCATCAACGTCCTTCCTTTATTCTCCCTCACATGTTGGTTAGCCGAGAGCTCGATCGGAAACAGTGTTAAATACAGTAGTTTGAAGTAGGCAATCTACTTCCTTTTTTCACCTGACTCATTATCATGAGCACTTTTGCTTATCCGCTCCAGGGACGGATCGATGCCGGTTCAATCTGCTCGAAGACCACCGCAAGCTGCAAGTGACCGTCCCCTCGAGCTCTGGAGGACGGATGCCTATCCAAGTCACAGTTCGTGGGGCCCGTTCGCCTGTTCGAGACAATATCTTTGTCCAATATGCTGCTCCAGTGGTCATATCCTGTACACCTTCTGCAAAGCCGGGTGACGTCATAAGTGTGACGGGTCGTCACCTCGGATCAACTATTGATCAGAACTGTCAGGTCACCATAGGCGGCATCCTCTGCGATTATGCTCGCGTCACCCTGGCTCACGTGAAACTTGACTGTAGGGTACCGGAAGGCGAGGGCAGGAATCATTCTGTCCTAGTATGCATTTCTGGGCAGTGGTCCGCTCCCTCCACGGCCGTCTTCGCATATAAAGGTGAGCTCTGAAGCAGTCTCGATCCTCCCTCCCTGCACAACCCAGACATTGATTGACTTGCCGTACTGAGCCACATGACCGAGTCGGACTCAAAGCTCGTCCTTCTCAGCCAGCAGTGCCGAAGCCAACAGAGATTCAAGTCTTATCGGATCCAGCACTACACTGATCAGTCTGTCGAGACGTTTGTTCGCGACTCCTTATCACGATTTATCTTGAAAAGTCAATAGGCTTGCAAGTGTGGGCAGATTTGGTAAGACTCCTACTTCTGTTCAAGCGTGTCTGTTATATTTTTGTAGAGAAGCCGAAGCAAGGCTCGGCGAAGAGGCCCCAACTGGGTGCGGAGCTGCCGGTGGTGTTTTCCGAGGCGGAGATTACAGGGGCTTGTCGGGTGAACGTGCAGTACCGGCTTATGAGATACTATGCGGATTACAAGGACGAAAGGGCTCGTATGGGTAAGCTAGCCTCCGCTTGATGACAAAAGATGGGAAAGTGCATCCGCAACGATTGGAACGTGTGAAGGGTTTACGTATCGGATCCATGGGTCACAAGCGAGCCCATTGTGTTGGACCGTATGTATAACTTCATCAGTACAAGAAGGCATGCTTTGTCACCGGGATTGCAGCAATTGATGTGGACCCGTGCAGCGAGGCTGAGGCACGAGGTAATTGGCACTTCATTCTGCTTCACTTCTACATTGCAACTCATATATTCTGACCTTAATTGCAGACGCGTTTGGACAGCCTTTTGACAAGCGAAGCCAAGTGAAAGCTCAAGAGAATCATGACAAGGTATTAGATCGCCTCGTCAAAGTGGAGAAGCCCGCTAGAAGTGATATATGGGCGAGCATGAGGCACGCGTGGGAGCAAGAGAAAGCTCGCCGGGGGCTACTTCAACGAGATAAAGAGGCCCCGAGTTCGTCAAAACGGCAGCGTAAGGAGTAGATCAAAATGAGATCATTCATAGTAACATCGTCAAAGCAAGCGCTCGCGAATATATAGATCTGTGTGGTCGGATTTTTGAGCAGGCTTTGAAATAGGATGCACGCGCGCGCCGCTGCAGCAATCATCAGGAATCAGTCCGATCGCGGATCGAGTCAACAGGAAACAGTTTGAGTCAAACAGGCAAACTTATTGATTGTTGGCGCCGCAGCGTAAATGTATTGTTCACGTGACATTGATAGATGGCCTAGACATTGACTGGAGAACTCTTAAGGCTAAGTTAAATTAGCACGGCATGCCGTGCGAGTTATACAAAAGTCCACTGTAGTGACTTGTGTTCTTAGGGTGAACAATACGACCCGGTCCAAATACTTTCAAGTGTTACCTTCTCAAGTGGACATTGCATAGCAACGCCAAGCGAATGGAGGTTATGTACCGGTCTGACAACCTACATGACCCAACTGTATCGATTCTATGTACTGGCATGGAACATTGATTCTGAGACTCCGCCTAACTTTTCATAGATACAGATTGTGCTTTTTCTAACCTAGCCTGATCACCTCAGGTGGAGCCTCAGTTTGCGGGCCATGCTTCTTAATACATAGACAACATTCCCGTTGTCCAGTACCTTCTTACAGAACACATCCGAGTCGACGTCGTGTGCGAGCGGGATGTCTTTGGTCCAGTCGGTGCTGAGGGCAAAAAGCGCCGGGCTCAACTCCGAGTACTTCCTCTTCAGGGCGACCTCCTGTCCCCTGCAGAGACAAGCGTTGCAGATTTAGAATCTTAAGAATAACGATATTCCCGTGACTCAAAGCAAAGAAACTTGTAGGCCAGAAAGAGTACTAGACTCGGCAATTGCTGAGGCACACTCGTTGCAGGAGGTGCGTGGGTGAGACCGAGAGGCCATTGAAGAGGCCTCACCTCATATGAGCGGAAATGAAGCAGGTTTCAGTATTGTCAGATATCAGCAGGATTTGTTTCCAAGTGGAATGCTTGACCTCTGCCAAAGTCAGAGGGCCCAGACAGCTTTGATTTCCAGCAACGCTTAGCAGCTTCAGAGTAAGTATCATTTTGAATGAGGCAGCTCAAAGCAGCATCTATTCTGACAGGTACCCTCATGCAAGCAGAATAGGTTGGCCCATCCAAAGTTTCCTAAGCTCTGGCACATTGCATCTCCAGATCTATAATCCACCGGAATCATTCAGCACTCCAAAGCTCTGATTGACAACCAGATTGTGCTAATCACACATTGCCTCACCCAAGCTGGAGAGCGGTGTCGCACGCATAGTCGGGCCGGGTGCCGGAGATGTGCAAGTCAACTTTCCCATGGCGGCCAGGTGGGTTCTTGATCAGAGTAGCCACTACGTCGTCGCCAGGGGTGTCGCCGCCCAGTTGGATGATGTGCACTTCAAACAAGGTACTTGTGTCATAGCAGAGGACCAGCGGGAACTCTGCGCCAGCAGAGGAGCCTCCACCGGAGTCACCAAGGGCGGGGCGCTGCAGAAACAAACAGCTCACATGGGTTCGAATACAGGAGAGGGCTCAGGAAAGGTGCATATATTTCTAACATACCCAAGTAAGAAGCCTCTTATGGCAGAATGCATTTCAATGATGTCCTGGGCACTCGAAAGAACACCTTCTTGTCCTAACAAAACCGCGACAAACCACTTTGGCTTCACTTGATACAAACAGCACATTATAGTCTGAAGCTATTCTCATAACTTTGACTCACAGCCTGAAAGTTCAGAGATCCGTTGACTTGTGCTGTCAACATGACATGTGCTGCGCAGTATGCGATGCCCCACCTTCAGACACAGGAGCTACTTAGATCAGACCCCAGTGTTAGATGATGTGACTTCAATGCTAACCTTGGCTGGTGAGACCTTCTGGTACATGCTCTTGAACGACCACTTGAACACCCGCAGGTCCTTGTACTCGAGCGCCTTGAAGAGGGCACGTGTATCCTCATTCCAGTAGCTGTCAGTGAGCTGCAGCTTTGCGAAGTTGAAGACGCGATCCTCTCCCCTGCCCTCGACAAAGTTTGGGTTGATGATGAGGCCATAGTCAAAAAAATCCTTCCTGTCCTTCCCGAACTGAGGTGTCGAGGACCGCCCTTAAGCACTCCCCGCTTTCTTCTTGCTAGCAGCAGGAAGCGGTGTAAGGTTGACCTCAGCAGAATCAGCCTCCACAGTATGACCAGGCATCACAAAGCCTTGTGGTGCCCCTTTGCGTGCCCGTTTTTCTGTCAAAAATAAAACCCAGAATCACTTTCCCAGGCCAAGGAAATGCACCAAGATTGCACCTTATCTGATCAAACAAAGTATTGGTCAGCTCCAAACGCAGAATCTCCAATGTCAGCCTATAAATTGCAGAAACATTTCCACCTGCGTGAGGGCTTGGCCTTTGATGCAACTTTGGAGCTGGTGTTAGGAAAGGAAAGGCTAATCACTTCTTTTAGCGTGACACGCCTCAGAAGGCCAAGGCGATCCAACCCTTCAGGATTCATTCGAGGTGATAATGTACTCAGAAGCTGCTGGAAGTATTGCATGACCAGTGGACATGTAGGGGAAGGGAGTATGACAGATGATTCAAAGCCCTCAACGTTGGTCAAACGCTTAGTCTCACATGTAACAAGATTTTGGACAGGAAGAGACAATCAGTAACAGGCATCATGTTTAGCATGATCCAGAGGAAGCTCCGCATACCTCGCTGAGATTGCACCTTGGCGAGCGCCACAGCTCTGCGGCGTTCCCCAACAGCTGCAGCAATGTTTCTGCCTCCAGTTCCGCCAGCAGTAGGGCCCCACAGGACGTCGTAAACGTCTTCTCCAAGAAAAAGCCGCGGTGTGTTCCGGAACATATTCATCTCAATGCCTTCCAAGTGTGGGTCCCCGAGGCTCTGTGCTGGAGGAAGAGCAAGTGCGAAGACATCCGACTTTACAAAGTGCTTGAAGGTAGTCAAGCACCAGCTTTTGAACTCCACACGAGACTTCGGTGCGCTGCTGATTGTGACGAATACTGAAGGCTGTACTTTGCTTTCCTTCTTGGGAGACGTGCCATCGCTTGCAAGGGGTCCGCTGTCATCATCTTCCAGTTGCGACCCCAAGTGACTGTGTGACTGAGTATTGCTCAAATTGCTGAAGCCAGGTGGGCTAGTACTGGCAGGATGCGCTGCGTAGACACGCGACACAGATGGTCTCGTTGGAGGAGCGTGAACAGTTGACCCTTGCGCATTGGCCGTTTGAAAACCCATGGCAGGACCCATGGCCGCCATCTTTATCAGTAAGCATGCTTTGAAACTGTTTATGTATTACTTTCATTCTAGACTGAACATGCTGAATCCAGTGAATCCTGATCCCGCCATGTCATTGTGCATTCAAGTTGCCCAGTGCCGTTTTGGCGCCAATTTGGGTCATATTCAAAATGCATTGACACTACTTTTATACCGGGCACTCGAGTTCAGGTAATTGCCCCAGTTCACGACTTGGGCAAACATCCAGGAATTTCCCCCGGTCCGACAGAGAAGCACGAAAAGCACGACCCACCCTCGACCTACACAATTGGTGACACCAAGATATGCATCTGCGGGATTCCGTGCGGTCGGGACCCCAATGAATGCGCGTTAATCTGGGGTCCGACGCCCGGTATTGCCCGTTTCAAAATCCGCACCATACATGTCCCGTGTGCATGCAAATGACGATTACACCGCAACGTGCACACATGTTGATAGCCATGCGCAGGCGTTGCGCACGGGCGGCTGGTCGCTCCGGCCCAACTTATCCGATGCATGAGAATCAAAGTTCTCGTGTTATATTTCAGTTCTAACTTCAACTTGGATTCTTTATAGCCTTAATTACATAGCGCGATTCCACGTGTACTATAATCAAGCTTGCCTTCAGTCGAAAGTGTCTGATCAGACCACGTCGATATTGAGTCCAAAACATGGCAGATCAAACGCGGTGGCTGCGAATATGCGTGTATACATTTTGCGACAGAGCCTTGGTATAAGCAACCCCGACTGTCTGGTCGAATGCATGCTGTATTTACTGGCGTGCGAAAGGTGGTGTACTGAACTGAACCCTGAGTTCCAACACGTATCTTCTTGCAGGCCAGACACACCGTCACTAACCAGACTTATGCAAGTACATGCAGTAACGGTCAGCTGCTCGTCTGGAATTGGATTGCATCACTAGCCTAGCTCATTTTGCTGTCGCCCCGATTCGGAGCCTGGGTGCCCAGCCATGGGCCGCGGTGATGGATAGTCTGTCAGTCCTACTATATTGTCAGCACAGCTTCCAGTCCAACAAGGAGCACGCTGTTACGTTTGGCAACGCTGGCAATCCTTCATCTTATCACTGTCAACGGGTCGAGTCATTAACCGGCACCCAGATCCCCGCAGTCGCACACTCAACACCTTGGCCTGAAGCAAAGCCCGATCAATAAACTACCCAAACGTCGCGCTCTCCGCAAGCAGATACAGCAACTAAACGTTTCCCCGAACCTCTTCCGCGCCCCCGTCTCTACCACAGGTTTCCCTTCGATCGCGTCGAGGAGGGCACCAAATTCTTCCAGCTCGGCATCTGAAGCTCCTTCTTGGTCGGGGCCGGCGGCGGCGCGGCCGCGGCCGTCTTCGGTGAGAATAGGCTCTTCTCGAAGCCTTGTGTGAAGCCGGTCGCGATGATGGTCACGTGCAGCTCGCCCTCGTACTTAGGGTCGATCACCGCGCCGAAGATGACGTTTGCTTCAGGGTCCGCTAGACTTGTGACCACCTGCGAACGGGACGGAACAGGATTAAAAGCCGGTTTTGCGAAAGTCGACCCAGGAGAACAGCCCATCGCTGAGCCCTGGAACGCACTTCGCGGACCGTCCGACCGTAGATGTGGACGAGTGATTGTGCGAGAGGTTCAAGGATAGGAAGCCACAGTATTGTCATCCTCCTGAAAAGGAATGCTCTCTGCTATGACGTGAAGCACAGGGTGACAGAGTCAGCAGTACGACTAGCACTCATAAGTGTGAAGACAGAAGGAGTCGCGAAGCTCACTCCAGGGGAAGAGAAAAAGAACGAGGCCAATCGCGGCTTATTCGCTCCCTTCCCCACACCGTGCTGACGGCGCTTCAGCTACAAATGTCCAAGATTCTTGCACGCTCCAACAGAAGGCAATTATTTGGTAGAGCAGAGCGAATCCCTGCTCCACTACTTCAGGAGGTGCAAACCGCTCATGCCTTGCCCTTATGCGCGGCCCGTTTCTTGATTCGATCTTGCAAGGTGACTCACTTTGGACACCTCGTTGACCTCCTGCAGCGTGAGGTCCGTCCCCCCCGTGATGTTGTACACGATGCCCGTCGCGCGCTCGATGGACCGCTCGATCAGCGGCGCTGACGTGGCGGCCAGCGCGGCCTCCTCGGCGCGGTTCTTGCCCGTGGAGAAGCCGACGCCCAGCATGGCGCTCCCGCTGTTGCTCATAATCGCCTTCACGTCAGCAAAGTCCACGTTCACCAGGCCCGGGATCTGCGGAGGAGTGGATAATCTGATTTCAACAAACTGAAAGGTAGGATATTTCAATTCTGGTGAAAAGTCTACGTGTACCAGGCCGCAATCTGTGGATGTCTTCGGATCTTACGATTCGAGTTTTGGTAATTCGGGATTCGTGTGTGGCGAAGTTATGGGGCGTGGATTGTTGAGGAGATCACGACCTTGGACTGTCTGAAGTTCCATGTTGTCAATGAGCTCAAAGGGAAACAGATGTCGGGGCGAACGGAAAGTCGATTCACCAGGCCCAGGACCCACGAGAGGACAGGGTTTGGGCTGAGAATTCTAGGATGTGTGGGTTACTGAGGCTCGGTTGGTGCCGTGGCTTACTCTCAAAATGCGCCACTTAATTCACACGAGCTGAATTCGATGGAGCGGGGATTGACGAGAAAGTGTGGCAGTACTGAAGCGGCAAAGTGGGTTCTCCTGGGCCGACTCCGTTCACTAAAGCTAACCAATCTTCAAATCGTGAGGAAGTGTGCGTCTCCTCAATCGTAAGCTCTGCTTCAACGACACAACGGCCTGAAGCCAGAAATACTAGATGACGTAAAACCGTGCAAAGATGACGTCAGCGGCGCGCACCGTGATGATATCCGAGATGCCCTGCACGCCCTGGCGCAGCACGTCGTCCGCGAGCAGGAACGCGTCCTGCAGGGGCGTCGCCTCTTGCACCACGTCCAGCAGCCGGTCGTTCGGGATCACGATCAGCGTGTCCACGTGCTTCCGCAAGTTCTCGATCGCGTCCAACGCCTGCGAAAGTTGGAAAAGTGTGCTCGCAACTACTTATGCCGTCACGCACTTGAATAGTGACTCAAGCATTTTAAAGGTAAAAGACTCGCAGACAGAAGTTTGAGAATAACGATCAGCGTGTCCACGTGCTTCCGCAGATTCTCGATCGCGTCCAACGCCTGCAACATTTGACGGTTGTCTCGGGGTTAGGGTTTGGCCAGTCCACGGTTTGGATGCGTATATGTACGATCCGCGTGTCCAGGCACTTCGCAAGTGTCAATGGTGTCCACGCCTGCATAGACAGGGAAATGATTCTCTGCAAACGGTTACCGCCGTTCAGCAGTTTGCGGGATCAACCACCCGCATCAGTGAGATTCCGGAATCACAATCAGCGTGTCCACGTGCTTCCGCAGAATCTCGTCCAACGCCTGCAAAACATAGTCATGTTTCAAGTGGTCGATGTTTTGCTAGGCTAGGTTGTTGAATGTCACAAATAGTGTCCACGAGCTTCTGCATGTTCTTGCTCGCGGCAAACGCCTAGCGACGCAGGAGGTGAATGTTCAAAAATGTCGGACAATGACAGACCGGCAAAAGTTCTGGCAGAAGTTCCACTGCAGTCGCAGTCAGGCTCGCTACGCAGACAGAAGGACTCCAACGTTCCGCGGCGATTCAACGTGCTTCTACAGTTGGTGAACTGCGTTCAACGCATGTAGAGACGCCATCTGAGGAATATGATCACAAAATGCAACGCCTACGGTTTTGTAAGGTTTCGAGAAGGTCGACGTATGGCCAAGAAAGCAAGTGGACACACTGAGGTTGCGCATTGCCCATGCAATCAAATCTTAACGTCAGCACGAACTTCCGTTCTTGTCTTGTCACGCTGCCCTCGATAAGACCAGATGCGCTTGAAAATGATGCACTTCGAATAGGAAAGAGCGGTGGGGCTGTCTACGTCCTTGGCCGATTGAAGAAGGGGCCGAGTGGCCTCGCATGCAAACCGCAACAGGCAAGCTAAAATTGGTTATCCACATGTCCATACGGTTCCAGGTGGTCAATTGGGTCGTCAATTTTTAAAAACATTTCCGATTCACCCCTCGTTTCTTCAAAGCCGACCAAGAGTCATCCACTCGTGAAGCTATTTAGCTCTCAATTTGTTTCAGCAATCACGTCTGGTAGTCGACATTTCTCGAAAAGAGCAGAAAGCTTTTCGATCTCAAGCAACGACTCTCGCCCCTGGAATCATCTCGGTTGGCAGAAGGGCTGCTCTGAAAAGCAGAGGAGTTTCGAGCACTAACCTGGTTCGCTCGCCGGCGGCCCTCAAACGTGAACGGGTATGTCACAACGCCCACCGTCAAAACCCCCGCCTCCTTTGAAAGGCGTGCTACAACCGGTGCCGCCCCACTGCCAGCTGTCCAAGATACAAAAATAGTGATCCAGGGCTGCAATTCAAGGTACGTGAGTACTATCTTCTCTTTCTTCTAGTACAACACCAGAGCCACTTTTACATACGGTAGATGACCACTGTCCTCTGTCAAACACTGCAACGCAAATGAACCTGTTGCCCATGTTGCCACTAAGCACACTGTGGATGATCAGCCCGGAAAGGTGATGAACGAAGCGAAGAATCCTTCTCAGTGCCCGCACGTTGGACCGCTGACCAGCGGACAGACACCAAAGAAACCAGCTGACAACGAATGATAGACTGCAACCGGAGTCCACTCACTCCCGCCGCCCATCCCCGCTGTGATAAAGATCATGTCTGCGTCCTGAACCGCGAACGCCAGCGCTTCCTGCGACTCCTCAGCCGCCTGCTCCCCCAATTCCGGTTTCCCGCCTGTGCCCAGACCCCGTGTCAACTCCTGCCCAATCTGCAGCTTGTCGTGTGCCGCTGACGTCACCAACGCCTGCGAGTCAGTGTTGACCGCCAGGAATTCGACGCCCTGCACGGACGCGGAGCTTGATTAGCTGCGCAGGAAAGTTGCCCTAAGTGGACTGATATTGAATGCCGAAGCAAAGCTGATAAGTATCGATATTTCGAGGTATTCCACGCCCCTAACAATTTACAGCTGGAAGAATGAGATCCATCAATGACAAAGGTGCCCGTCTTCAGGCGGCAAGGCTCAGATCTGGCGGAGTGATGTCCAGTGACAGGTCAACTGGATTACTTGGCGATCAGGGGACTTCCAACAAAAAGGAATCATATGACAAGACTTCGCACGTGCACACTTGTCCACAGCATCGAGATTGAGAATGGAGCGAACCCCGACTTCATACAAGATCGAGAGGAGGTTGTGTACCGAAGGAGGCTGTTCTGGAGGCGAGACATAATCTGGCCAACTCTGCGCATTACAATGTCATTTACTATAGCATCTGGACCCACCTGTAATCCGCTCCCCACCATCCTGTTCACAGCATTGCCACCCCCCCCTCCAACACCTGAACCCAGGAGAAAGCTAGGCATGAAGTGGAGGAAGAGCGAGAGATTCTTAAACCTGCATTTTTGAATCCACAAACCTCACACCACTAGCTTGATGGACATTTTGCATATTAGATTGGTGGACAATCTGCACAATCCGCAACAAGGGTGCAACAAGAGCTGAGAACCTCTTTGTGTTGTGAGGTACCTATTCAGCCTTTGTCCAAATACATCAAGCTAAGCTCTGCACATTAATTAAGACAACGACCTGTATGCAGACTTATGTCCGTAAGAAACTCACCAATGACTTTGATGTTTGCCTGATCAGGGCGGCCCCTGGCTCTAACCACCGCCCTGCATCTGGAGTGTCTTGGCTTTGGCCTGTCACCAGCTGTCTCAAAGAGGGCCTGACCCTTGAGAAAGGAGCCAGCGGAAGATGGTGCTACGGCGGGGGCTTGGGAAGGAGAGCAAGAGTGTCGACTATCAGGGCGGCTCATCTGTAAAGACACGAGTGGATCGTTGTTGGAAAACCATTTCTTGAGCTGAACGCTCTTGCGGAAGCTTGTTGAGTTGAGGAAATTTGGCATACATTGAGCGTAATAGGGGTGTGAATCGATTCGGATACTCAGCAAGCAGCATACAGAAGGGTCCCGTGCGCTTGCAGAATGAACCAAAGCCTTCCAGAAAGTTGCGCGGATTACTTCAAAGTGAGGGATAATGATGATGTGCAAGTGCTAGGTTGAAGAGTGGAGGAAGGCAACAGCCATTCTCTTAGGAGTGGCCTTGGATGTGACAGCGTCCACCACGCTGTTTTGCTCCTAGCCTGAAAGCCGAACTTTAGGATGCTCTGGAGTGCCATTTTGTTGAAGTGTCTCCCTTCAAAAGATCACTTCCCTGCACACTTCAATACTGTGCAACAAGAGTACCTTGAACTTCTACACCAAATTTCAAAAGGTCCTTGACTATGCAGTCTTTTCTGCCACGCTGATGAGATGCAGTTGGTCATAGATCGACAGACGTATCAGATTTGCAGTCAAGCAACAGGTGAGTCCATTATTTTGGCAGGTTCGTCCAGAAGCCAAGGAAAGCAAAGTTCTCTGCTTCAGGATGCAAATCTGCCAATCTGTTGAGACCAAAATGCAACAAACAGGAAGTCGTTCTCGTAAGTACTTCTTGTCGTGATAACATGTCTTCAAGTATTCATATTGCCACTACACTGTCTCCGTTACAATCAAAGTACCTGAAATGCAGTGTTTGCCTGAAGATCTCGATGCGGATGACTGGTGCATTCGTGCCGCTCGTCGAACGCCCTTGGCTGATGCGCGCCAAAGCTGCCGTAAAGGCTGCATCTCTGTAAGGAGGTCGCTGCCATCATCTTTAAGAATGCCTCCCTCGACCCTGCTCTCTAGCTAGAGCTAATTCTGAAAAGATGGAAGCCGCTTCTGACCTTCAGCAAAGGTAGTAGGCAAGTAAACGCCGCGTCAAAGGACAAATGCACCACGCCGCAGCCTGTTGTAGAGAATAATTGGACGTTTCTGGCCTGTAGCCTGCCGCTTTTCTCAACTTTCAGAACAGCACCGACAACTTGAAGTTGAAGTTCTCGGAAGCACACAAACGAGGAGATGAGTTCTGCCAATGGTGCCAATGCAGGCACAGCTGTGCTCTATTCTGCCCAATTCCAACTCTTTCGCGCCAAATTCCAAGAGGATGAGGAACCCGATCGGTAGGCGTTTACCGTGCACTTTACTGGCAATCGCTGGGGGTATTGTTCTCCATGGTATGCACCCGGTAGATGTTTCACCAGGTCCTCTCTTTGAGTTGACGTCAGCAGCTGCCAGGTGTCAGGATTGTATTGGACGATAGCGCCAGCAGGGCGGTCTGATCAGTTCGTACTCATCCTATGATCTAGGTATCTGCGTTGCTGTGGCCTATTCCCTGCTTTGCTCAGATCTTGCTCCCCGTGTTCAAAGTTAATCTCTCGAAATCGATTGCTGGACGCTGAGCGCAGCGTATGTGTGGGTGTCTCCGCCCTTGAACACTTTTGTGTATGCGCACCGGGTATTTGTGTGCGCTGTTTATACCACCACCAGCTTGATCGTCAAACAGCGTCCGCTAATCAGACTTTGGCGTAGCTGCCCAAGTGTCAGTACCAGGGTGGAGGTACGATGGACATTGCAGAGCTGCATGGCATCCTGCAGCTGTGCCTGAGTGGTGATTTGGCGCAGCGGAAAGCGGGCGAAGAGCGCCTCAAGGAGGTGAGATGTCTGTTCTTCCGTGTCCACTTGCCAGCTAGTGCGTCGTGTTGCTAGTGTCATATGATGGACTTTGTACGTCAAAGGGCGTCAGGTCTTGGATTCTTCACCGCCTTTACTTGGAGTAACAGGCTTCAGGAGTACCGCTTTTGTTTTCTGCTTGACAGAAGTTTTAGGGTTCCATTGAGAGGCGCTGATAATGGTTCTTCAGATGGGCCCACATCGTTACCAAGATGCAAGCACCAGACCTCACCTGTATATTTGGGCAAGGGAACCTAGATCTCATGTTTATCGCCCGGGAGGGTCCAGTCAAAGCTGCCTACTCATTGACTTCCTCGAGCACATATTCAATGAGTCCATGGCGCCAGCAATCCATGCCCATACGTGCAATGCTGGGTCTCACAACTTGCTGGAACAACAGCATTTCAAGACAGTGACCCTGTCTTTATGATCTTGTTTTTGTTTCAGGGCCCCTGATTGGCGTGTCTCAAGGATTATGTTTTTGTCTCTGGACTTATGTCTTGGTCAACAGTCCTAATGCAGCCTATTTCTTCCGTTTGCAGTTCCAGTATGGCCCTGGCCACCTGGTCCTCCTGCTGCAGACGATTGTTCAGGAGTCTGTCGACCTCGCGATCCGCCAGGTGGCGTCGATCCATTTCAAGAACCTTGTGGGCAAAGAGTGGGAGGTCGATGATGGTAGGTGGTGCTTATATTCAAAAGTGCACCCATGACCCCACGTTGTCAGTTAAAAAGCGCGTTTTGATATGATTCAAGTGGGCGCATGCACAGTGGCCCTCCTCCAGTCTGCACTAATCATCGATGAGAATCTTGCCATTGCACTCCTATGGCAAAGAAGTAGATCTCACCGGTTGGCTTTCTTGAAGCATGTTGCGGTGGCGCCCCGACCTTTTTCATTGGTCTGGTCTGACATGGCACGTGCGTTGTGGCTGCAGGCGAGCAGGAAAAGTTCTCGGAGCAGGATAAGAAGATTGTGCGGGACAACCTGCTGGAGGCGATCATTCAGGCGCCGCACATCATCAGGTACGCCAGCGGTGTGGCACGATAGGAGATTGAAGCCGTGTCAAACTTGTGGACTTGGCGATCCTGACCTGATTGACGAGATTGAGAACGGGTAGCTCGCGGAAGTAGCACGGTTGTGCAATAGGCTTCACAGGGGTAGCACAGTTGTGCGAACAGGTTCCAGGTCAAGTGGCGAAGCGGTCGCTGAAGGGGCATCTCTTGTAAGTCCGCTTCGCTGCTGGAGCACAGCGCAAGTAGATTTGGCTTGGTGAGGGATGAAATGAGCTCTGTGCGAGGAAATGTTGCCAGGCGTGTGGCACCCGTAGGCAAGCTGTTAGCCAGGTCGAGTGGGGGCAACTGGAAAGGGGAATGCAATGATGCAAGGGCAGGCTGCCTATTGCACAGGCTGCGCATTGCAGGGAATGCTGTTCGGTACGATGCAAACCGTGTGACCCCAGACACTTGCACCCTTAAAAGCCCACCCTGAAATCAAATACCTGATTTTTCGTTGAGTTCTGACTTCACTAAGATAGACCCACTCATTTAGCAAGACTAGCATCATTGCACATCGCAGGGCCGAGGCGCTGACTGCATTCCAGTCCAGAGGGGCGAGAAGCGCCACCAAAGCACCACCTCAGCAGATTGAAAAATTCGTCCTTGCTTGTATCCTCCTTTTTTGTGAGCCCCACACACCAATAATAAGAAACATAGGGGGATAAGCACACACACAAAAAGGGAACAAAAAAAGGAGAATACTGAGTGTACTTGGCCTCACCCAAGGGGATTGGTTTGACAGGTTGCCTCCGCAACGGTGACGATTGTCGGCGACCTCCTTGCAGGACGCAGCTGGGCGAGTGTATGAAGAGCATTGTGCACGCGGACTACCCGCAGCGTTGGCCGCAGCTGGTGCCCCTTTTGGATAGCAACATGAAGGCAGGCGCGGCACACCCGCAGCGCCTCTACGGGGCCCTCTACACGCTGCGCATCCTGGCCCGCAAATACGAGTAGGTCACATCTCTTGACTTGTCATCTGTTAGTTTCAATTTTGTTCGCTGTGATGCTTGTGATCTTACTTCCATGGTCATTATAATGTCTTTCTAGGCCTCCAAGCACTGCCACAGCGTCCCAGTTGGCTCACAGATTGTCCATGCCGATTATTTGTTGTTCGTTTGCTGAGGCATATGTTTGCGTTTTCTTGCCTCACTTATTTGCCTCACAGAGTACAATGATCAAGGTGGCTGTCGTCGGTGTTATAGGCTTTATGGTCCTGGATCTGAGGAATTCGAGGAGTTGAGTTTTAAGCATTGGTTCGCAATGGTGTTGACTTCAACCGGACACGTCAGGACGGATTGGAACGCTTTGGGGGCATGTAGACCCGGTTCTGCAATCCGTACTTCTTGCTGGTTGTGCAGGTACGGACGAGCGAGCGCGATTGAGAATAAACGACGCCCCTCGGTCTGCCATTCATCTGTGTTCAACGTACACTTCTTGAAATACAAGCGAGGTAACCGAAATGGCAGTATTGTCGAAACCAAGAACGTATCTTCGGGGTGTGCAGGTTCCGGGACGAGGACGAGCGCGCGCCGCTGGTGGCGGTTGTTGCGGAGGTGTTCCCGTACCTGCTGTCCATCTTCCAGGGCCTCCTCGCGGTGCCGTCCCCCCCCATCGAGGTCGCCGAGCTGCTCAAGCTGCTCTGCAAGATCTTCTGGTCCACGAACTATGTGAGCGTCACGATCCCTTTCTGCTCGAAAACCTGTTGACCCGCTTTGGAGAGGTTTCGGCATCGCGTTTCCAAACTTGCAGTCCGTCACATAATACCGGTCATCTCATATCGCAAGTGGTCGGAGTCCTTGCCTTCGTGTTCTCGCCTTCGCTTGAGCTGACTTGAGTCTGAAGCAGAGGTGCAGAAACACGTCGGCTCGAGATTTGGTGACATATTTTCTTTTTACGCAGCATATGTCTTTGTTGATCTTTTGTTGTCTCTCTTGTCCGAGCAGTGAATTGCAGAGCGCCCCATAAAAGCTGCATTGTGAGTTCGCCATGAGCCTTGCAGAAGAGAAGGGCGCCAAACCGTTTGGACCGTTGGGCAGTCAGAGTGACACCCCATGATCATCTGCTATAATCAGCGGTCCTACATGAGGGAGACTTCCTTAATCAGCGTGTTTGCCAAATGTTTCAAGGTTGTCAGAAGTTCTGCTGGTTCTCGTATTTCGAACTCAAATCGCAGCATTCGAGTGAGCACGACATGCATTCGAGTGAGCACGACATGCAGAAGATGCTTCGGTCGAGATGAGGTTTTCACGTTGTAAAAAAAACGTGGGACTGTCCACGAGCAGAGACACGAGTCCTTAGGGGTGGCTTGTAAAGTTGCTGAAGAAAAAGCGTTCCTTGGAACCTTTAATGTCGTCTTTTCATCTCTATCGAAAAAGCCACTGGTTGTCCCACCCCTCACCTCTTCCAGTCCTAAGCGACACGTGGGCCCCACCTCACACTTTATCCCTCCATTTCTACCCGCCCAGCTGGAGATCGCTCAGCCGCTGCTCGACACGCCAACGTTCACGGCGTGGATGACGTGCTTCCACAGCCTGATCGAGCGGCCGGTGCCGCTGGAGGGCCAGCCGACGGACCCGGACGTGCGCAAGAACTGGCCGTGGTGGAAGGTCAGGAAGTGGGCGCTGCACATCGTCAACCGCCTCTTCAGCAGGTGCGACTTTTCCTCACTTTGATTTCCAGAGCTTCTTCACCAAGATTTTCGTCCGCCTGTTTGGAAGAACAATTGTTGTCTGCGTTTATCTCGAAACAATCACTTCAGTGTCTCGACCTTCCAGTTTCTGCGGTTTCTGGAGGCTGGGGACGTGTCGTCGTAGCTGATAAGTGAGCAGGGGATCGTGATTTAGCACACTGCGCATCGCTCTCGCCCTACATTTGGGTCTCGGCGTGCAAGCAAGCACGACAAGTGGGAATCAGTAAATGCTTCGTCACGTTGTCAGCACTCTATCGGCATGTAGCGACCACGTTGGACCGTGCCGCTAAAGGTGCGATGGCAAGATCTCATGAACTGTGGTCTTTTGAGGCTTTTCAACGTGGGTTACGGAACATACTATAGAACGTCTGGCTCCCTTTGGTCGGCGGCAGAGTCCTGGAAAAAGAGCTTCCTTGTCGTTCTGTAAGACAAGGACGGGGCTGATAGTGCCCTGTGACATGGCCACTGCTGCGACCAGTTGAGGCCAGTCAGGCTTTTCCAAAATTGATATAGGATCTCCAAAGTCAATTCATCTTCACTTCGGTTCTGAACGGTCGGTTACTCTCAGGAGTTGGTTTCACTGAGCAGTTCGTGTCACTAAGATAAGAATTTCTCTTCCAGGTTCGGCGACCCCAAGTACGTGAAGGAGAGCCAGGTCCAGTTTGCGCGCAACTTCTCGCGCCACTGCGCCACCAAGTTCCTCCACTCCTACCTCAACGTCCTCGCCATCGTGCGCGAGGGCGGTTATCTCCCTGACCGCGTGGTTAACCTAGCGCTCTCTTACTTAACCACGGCGATCCCCAAGAAGGAGCCGTACCAGGCGATGAAAGCGCACATGGACGTGATCCTGTTTCAGATTATCTTCCCGCTGATGTGCTTCAGTCAGCAAGACGAGGAGCTCTGGCAGGAGGACCCGCACGAGTACGTCAGGAAAGGATACGGTGAGGCATTGCTCCTTAGTTGAATAATCAAGCCGCTGAGAATATCACTTCTGTTCAAGAGGAACCAGATTCTTGGGTTTTAACATGAAAGAACGTTCAGTTCTCGTATGATGAGCCTTTCGAGTGAGGAAAGGATGTTCAAGCATACATTCGGAAGGGTGCGGTGAACTTGCGTAAAATAGTAAGAAATGGTCTGGGCTTGCCTAACTTGCTAGCATCTTTGATCCTGAACGGCGGTGAACCTCTTCTTCGTTGATATCTTCCGACGACAGATGGGCGGGGCTAATTTTCCTACTTTTGAAAATGTGGGCTCCTATTCAGTTATCGACATTTCTCTGCGGAGTGTTGATTGCTATTGTTTGTATACAAGAAAAGCTTTACGCATTCTAGCTGGTCAACGAAGTGCTCTGTTCGTGCAGACATCATCGAGGACATGTACAGCCCCCGTACGGCGGCCATCAACTTCGTGACGGAGCTCGTCCGAAAACGAGGCGCCGACAATCTGCCCAAGTTTATCACCTTCATCGTCAACATCTTCACCAGGTAACTTGGCGTGCTAGTTCCTTTTTCCTCTACAATGCATTGCTTCGGTCGAGGTGTTTCTGCACCTACATCGACGAGGACTCCAGGAATCGGAAGCCTTTCAAGTCTGATTGTTTGGGCATTCTGTAAGAAGATATGCGGACGGAGGTTTAAACTGAATCGATGTCGAGCTGTGGGCGATATCAATCTGTCCGCACAGTCTCACATTCTTATGGATCCAAGCTTTCTGCAGATTCTGGTTACCTGCTACACGTCCGAACATTCTGCGATCTGAATCGGTTTGAGCTGAAAGGTCTTGTTTCAAGTCGACCACGTTTTGCAATTCGTTTGCGCATTCGTTTCACAGTGTAAATCACCAAAGGTGAAGACAAATAAACCCATACATTTCTCCCCCCGCCTCCTCAGGTACACGGAGGCCCCCCCGGAGCAGAAGCCGTTCCGCGAGAAGGACGGCGCGCTGTTGGCGATTGGCGCGCTGGCGGATCGGCTGAAGCAGCAGGAGCCGTACAAGAGCGCGCTGGAGCAGATGCTGCTGGAACACGTCCTGCCAGACTTTCAAAATAGTCACGGCCACCTTCGGGCCAAGGTGAGAATAGGGTCCGGACAAGTCTTTTGAGCATTCTCTCTTGCAATACGAACTTCCCTTCGGAAAACTGCATGGCAGAGAAGGTTCGGGGGCTTCCCATGACCTATGAAGCAGCCGGCCAAGAGCTTTCTGAGGTCTCGTTCGTCGTTTTGACAAGTGCCAGTCAAGGTAGGAACCGGTTCTAGGAATTTTGGAAGCGAAACGGCGGCTTGGATTCCAGGGTTTTGAATGCAAGTGCTTCGAGCTCTGGAGTAAGCTTTCAATCTTTTGAGCACATCTTGACTGCTGCTGCCAGGCTCTCGACTCCTCGATCGTGCGGGCTTTTGATAAGTAGAAGCTTAGCGCTGATGTGGGGCTTTCAGGCAAGGGCATTAGGGATGTTGGCACCCGGCGCTGCCGCTGGCAGGACATCATCATACACATAGAGAAGCTCCAGGCTCTCAGCACCGGGGGCCGTTTGTCATTCTGGGGAAATGTCGAAGCTGGTCCTTTTTCATCATTCGGCCGCTCTTGCGAAAGGTAACCCTAGCCATCTCCTTAAGTGCACCGCTGACGTCACCTTACTCTTTGTATCCGCCTTTCAGGCGGCGTGGGTTGCGGGCCAGTATGCGGACACCGAGTACAAGAACCTACAAAGCTCATCCGCACATCGGACCAATTTTGCGAGCGCAATGTCAGTAGTCGCTGACGTCACCCTGCTTTCTTTCCTATCCAGGCGGCGTGGGTGGCGGGGCAATATGCGGACATCGACTACAAGAACGTGCAAAACTTCAACGCGCAGCTGCAATGCATTGTCAACTGCTTGCGAGACCCGGACCTGCCCGTGCGCGTCGACGCTGTCGTTTCGCTCAGGAGCTTCGTGGAGGCCATTGAAGGTCAGACTTCGTTCCTTGAATGTTTTTCGAACACCAGGTTGTAGACGCTCTTCAGGACGCTGCTCGAGAGTTTTGCTGTTGAATAATGCCGTCCTTATCATCTCCTACCTTGCCTCAGGGAGGCTTTACGGGGACCTCTTGGATGTCGATTTCTTTTGCTTCATTGTCGTTTTGGAGAATCGGAAGAATGCTTCACGACCAGCGTCGCTGCGAATCTCGGGTTTCTGTTGTTTGGAGAGTCTTCCCTCAATCTTTCGAAGAGTCTTACCTCGATATCTTGCCAAGATGACGAGAGTTTGCAGCGGTTCTTGCGCAGCGAGGATTTCGGCTTCTCGTATTCCGTACCGCTTTCATGTGCCTTCTTTTCTGTACTCAATCCTTACAAAGTACACAGACAAGCCGTTCGCTGAATTGCAGCCCACTTCATTGACTCCGTTGGCTCGCTTTTGCAGATCTCAACCTGCTGCGGCCTATCTTGCCGCAACTGTTGGACGAGTTCTTCAAGCTCATGAACGAGGTCGAGAACGAGGACCTCGTGTTCACGCTGGAGACGATCGTCGACAAGTTCGGGGAGGAGATGGCGCCCTTTGCGCTTGGCCTCGTGCAAAACCTGGTGAGGCGTCCAGCCCAAAGTACAAATCTTTTAAGCAAGCTGCTGTTTGGATCGAGAGTTTTGTGGTCAGTTGCTGATGCAGAAGTGTAAAAAATTAGTTGGTTCCAGAATCGGCAGGGTGCCCGGATGGTGCTGCGAGGACGCTATTGACGCCTCAAGACTTGCCAACATGGAGGAACATGAACGAATTCTTCAAAACTCAGTAATGTCCCTACGGTTGACCCAGACAAAAAGTTCCGACGGCCTCCTTCAGCGTAGGCCCTATTCCATCCTTCGATGGCGTGTGTGACTAAACCTATAACGCAAAACGTCAGATGGCACCTACAAACTTTCTGGATTTGTCGACTACGTATGATCTTATTCTACCAGCTTGGACTGTTAGCTGCGAGTGATTCCTTTCCTCGTCGACCTCCTTGTTTTTCCCCTCGTGTCCCTCCTCTTGTTACTCCAGCGTCACACCCAGAGACGACTTTTCTTTGCAGGCCGCCGCGTTTTGGAAGTTCGTGAAGGCTGACGAGGACAACGAGGAGGAGGACATGGGCGCGCTCGCGGCGGTGGGGTGCCTGCGCGCGATCAGCACCATCCTGGAGTCCATCAGCAGCCTGCCGCACCTCTACCCGCAGCTGGAGCCAATTCTGCTGCCCATCCTCAAACAAATGCTCACCTCCGACGGACAAGGTACGTAGCGGCCGGAGCATATGTCTCTTTCCATTTTGTCTCTTTTCCAAAACTGCTACCTTACAAGTACTGCTTGGTATTCGGGTTGCGTTGGCATCGAGGGTTTGTTTTGAACAGATGCTCGCATTTGATGGATAGGGTGCGTATGGCGAAAAGGCGAGCGATGCCCCAATTTCGAGTTGTTTTCCTGTTTGAAGACTTGTCTTTTCGTCTTTTCGTCTGTTTGGCCGGAAAACTTGTCGTTGCTGAAGAGATGCCTGGACTTAAGGTACTGAGGGTAAGTCAGTGGTTGGGGGACCGGAAAACTTCGGATGTCTCCTCAATACAGGTCCAACGAACCGTCGAAAATTGAAAGTGCCGGAACGTTTGGATCTTCCCAACTACTTCCCGAGATCATTCGCGCAATCATCACGAACGTTTCAGGATAAAAAGCTACCACTGACTCCCTCGTCAACATAAACCAAGCCCCTTCGAAATTGTCTCAAACGGTTTCTCTGTTGTTCGCAGACGTATACGAAGAGATCATGGAGATTCTGTCCTACGTCACCTACTTCTCCCCGTCCATCTCCCCCCAAATCTGGGCCCTCTGGCCGCTGCTCATCGAGTCGTTGCGCGAGTGGGCGGTGGACTACTTCGAAAACATGCTGGTGCCGCTCGACAACTTCATCTCGCGCGGTACCGACCACTTCCTGACAGCGGAGGAGAACTACCCGAAAAGCGTGTACGACCTCGTAGAAGAGGTGCGCTGAAGTTTCTGATCTTCTTTGTGACATCCAAAAGCTGTGCCGGTGCAATCCTACCGCTTTGAAAATCGCACGGTTTCAGCCTACTTGCTTTTGAAACTATCTTGTTTGGGTGCTGTTAAGATGTATGTATCATTGATAGAGTCTTCAGACTTGTAAATGGAGTCCGTTTCAGGAGTGATTTCGCATGTGGCCTTCTTTTCTGATCTGACCCTTTCCTCAATTCCATTGTTCCATGTCAAATCAATCAAAGTCACTCAAAACAACTTGCAATCTCAAAAGTGCCCGTTTTCTATCAAAGTAGACGTTCCGATTCATCTGGCCGTATGTGCGCTTAGAACACAGTTGGTTGAAAGCTTATACCAGACGGAAACCAGGTCTGTGCAGAAAGTGATTCTGCTCGGAACGACTCTTTTCATCTCTGAAGCTGGCAATCCATTCTCCGCAGATGCTGAACAACAAGGACCTGCGGGAGCCCGATCTAGTTGCCGCGCCCAAGCTGTTCGAGAGCGTGTTGCAAAACTGCCGGGGCCGCGTCGACGCCTGGGTCGAACAGTACGTAAAGCTTGCGCTCACGCGATACAAGACAGCGACCAACAACTATCTGAAAACGTTGCTGATCAGCGTGGCGGCCAATGCGCTGTACTACAACCCGGTGCTGTGTTTGCAAGCGCTCGAGCGGCTGGGCGCGACGGGGGAGTTCTTTAGAACCTGGTTCGCGATGCTGTACGAGGCGGGCAAGAAGAAGGACTCATTTCTGCACTTTAGGAGGTGAGGCCACGCACTTTTCCTTTCTTTCCCTTTTGGGGATGCACGTGGGAAACAGTGTTGTCTCTCCAACTGCCAAATAAAAAAATCCGGAACAGTTCAAGCCGTACATTTAGGGAGTTGCCACCCTAATAGATTCATTAGATTCGATTGAAGATGTTCTGCGTGAATGTTCGTATTGTGCGCTTAGATCCTCGGGTGTGACGCCCTGTAGAAAGTGGTCTTCGATTTTGCATCCGAGGGTCTCCTTTTGCTCCTTTAGTATCCTTTTTTGAGTAGGTGTCGTGCTAGGTTGAAGCTCGATAATCCGGCCTGGACTTGGCAAAGACGAGCTATCAGAACAACAGACACAAGAAGTCGCTGTTTGCGAACAAGTCTCTATTTGCTAACCAGCCAGTCTTGCCCTTGCAGGGAGCACGACAAAAAGGTAGCGGCCTTAGGCCTGACCTCCCTGCTGCTAGTGCCGGAGAACCTGTTGCCAGCGGACCTCCAACCCGGCATGGGCCAGGTCGTCAAAGGCCTGCTGCGAGTACTCGCAGCGTACAAGGAGCAACGAGACGGTGAGGCTGCAGGGTGACGCTGTTAGGGTTTAGGATTGTAGCTTTAGAGGCTAGGTTTCGTTCATATTGTAATGCTTTGTGGGTTTGGTGATGTCAAAACCTAGTGGTGTTGACCTCTGGATTTTCGAAAGTTCGGGCAACGAGTTTATGATGGTCAAAGCGTTCCGGGTGAAAGTGATACCGTGGACGAGGTGGGCACCGGGCTGAAAGGATTGTATGCGACAGTTTTCGAAGCGCCCCCAAGAAGCAACTACAGGACTGTGAAAAGGGCCAGCGCACCAAGTTCGTGGGAGCGGTTCATGCCTCGACCCCGCGCAAAGAGATTGAGTGGCCCCTCGAACCCGGCGGACCTTTTTTTTTGGTGCCATGCCCAGACTCCTGCTCAAGCTGACTCGAATCACTCGTTATGATGCAGAGAACATCAAGGCTGCGGAAGAGGCTGAGGATGACGTGGACGATGACGACAGCGAGGGCTTCGAGGCGGAGGAACTAGGGGAGGGAGGCGAGGACGGCGCGGAAATTGCGCCTGTCTCGTTGTCTGACATGCCATCCCGGGTGAGCGCAAGAATCTGCCCCTGACTGGACCGCTTATTACTCAAACCTGTTTTAGCAGTAGTCTGGTTTGATTTCTTGAGTATTGACCAGCATTAATTTATTTTCACCCTTTCACCTGCTTCTGAGAAGCCGCTAGTTGGTTGTCAACCAATCCTTGACCGAGTTCTTAACCGACTTCTGACCTCTCGCAGCAACGAAAGTTCTTCCGCGATTCGGACGATGAGGAGGATTCGGACGACGACGATTGGCTGGACGAGGACGAGGAGTACGTGTCGCCCATCGACGACGTCGATGCGTTCATCTTCTTTGCGGACGCCATGAAAAGTAAGTTTAAGGGCAGATTGGAACGGCCTTTTGGTCAAACTTTAGGGCCCATTCTTGTGGCACTGTTGCCTTGACAAGAGATTGCAACAGTATCTGGTGACCATTGTAATTTTGCGGAACTGATTGGAGGGAAACAGCTGATAGTGGCTTTTCTGAATCGTGAGGGGATGCGGAGATCAGGCATCAAGGGCGCAAGACAAAGTTTCCGGGCTACCTTCGTCAATCTATAAAAGGGGGCTTGCGCTGTATCCGCTTCAAAGCTTGCTGACTCATGTCTTCTTCTCCCGTCTTCAGATCTGTCCTCGAGCAATCCCCAACGATTCCAGCAGCTCACGGGTGCCCTAGACTTTACGGACCAAGCCAAAGCCCACGGCCTGGCACAATACGCGGACGTCCGGCGGCAAGAGTTTGCGAAAGAGCAGGAAGAGAAAGCGAAGGACGAGGAAGAGCGACGGCAAAAAGCACAAGCGGCCCGATAGTAGCTCGCGTGCCTCTTCTAGGTTAAGCATTAATGGGGGGATACTAGGTTCATATTGTTTCTTCAGGCGTCAGTCATCGGGAGCCCCGATTATAGAGCTCGCTGGTCGAGTCCGATTCTTAACCAATACGAGGTGAGGGACAGACATTGCGGTCAGAGTTATAAGCCTGATTAGCCATGTTGAGATCATTGGCAGACATTGCCGCTCCTTCGGAGGGATACGTATCAAAGGTCGTTGATTTTAGGTCGTATATCATGTGTCAGCTCTGATCAGATCCTGCAGAGATTGGGTTCGTTCTCACACTACAATAGTGACTACTGATTGCAATGTCGTTGCATACTAATCTCAGTTAGTCACGTTTCTACCGGTCGTGTTCGTCAAAGTATGATAGTGGCATGCTAGCCCACAGTATGTGTGCCAAACGCCTGCATGGTTGCGGCCCGCATGGACCACAATGAAGACCATGCTAATAACAACATCTAGGCATCCGAACGGTCAGTGTAAGTCGTCGCAATGTCGTGCGCATTCGATCATGCATGCAATAGCTCATGCATGCCAGAAGCTAGTGCACACATCATGAGCTGAGCGCGCGTGCACCTGGCTCCACAAGCTACCTAGGGTGGGTACCGGCCGAGTCGATTTCGACTCGGTTTGCGACAATATTGTACCGTACTACCAAGGTATGATTTCGAATAAATAAATAATTATTTGCATTCGGAAAGTTGGAAACTCCAAATAAGCATTCGGAATTCGCTTTTTCGGAAATGGAAATTAATTGTTAAATCTCGTTCGGAAAGTGATTTTGAAGCCCGTATGAGCTTCAGGTACGTACCGGTACCCTTTAAGACCCACTATATAAGGGTACCTGGGTACCTTTCGTCTCATTCGGATTCAGGGTCGGATTCCGGAAAATAATACAACATTTGGACTCGCATTCTGTAGAATAATTGCATTTTTCAAGCATTCGGAATCATACCTTGGCAGTACGGTAATGCCGAGTATCGTATAATGTCAGTGATACCGGCGGTTCGCGTCACGGCGACTCGGACTTCCGCTACACGTACGGTTCGAGTACTCTCAAAATTTTGCTCGGCCGTACGCCGGTGTCACGCGATCGTGAGGTAGTGTTATAATATACACTGTGAAAGAAGCATCAAAATAGGGCTCAAAGGAGAGGCTTATTCATCATGTAGAAACGTCTGACAAGCAAAAACAAATGTTGGGAAGGTGTCATTAGGTAGACCCCACAACCTTCAAAATTGACCCGGGCAGAGCCGCGCAAATACACTCAGTGAAATTTTGTCGCACCGTAGACTGGCGACACTTGGCAGATCCGGCAGATTGTCTTCGAATCCAGTCTGCGTTTCAGACCTGTAAGAAATGCCCTGGTCCCCCGGGTAGGCCAGTCAGACCATAGCAGGCCTGTTTTTGGCCGCAAGTCCGCCCGGTAAGGTTCACATTCTAAGGCTTCTACTGGGGACTTCTGAAGCCTAGAGGAGTGCTCGGTCGACCCCCAGGTCCAATGCACCCACCGGGCGGACTTGCCGCCAAACATAGGCCTGCTATGGTCTGACCCGCTCGACCGGGGGACAAGGCATTTCTTACAGGTCTGAAACGCAGACTGGATTCGAAGACAATCTGCCGGATCTGCCAAGTGTCGCCAGTCTACGGTGCGGCAAACTTTTACTGAGTGAAATTTCACGCGACCGCGGCGACCGCGGCGATCGCGCCCGGGTAAATTTGAAGGTTGTGGGTTCGTAGGGTCTACCGTGTCATTAGGGGTCCTTTGAAGCTCCAAGTCCATGTTATGTTGGGGACAAATCGCAAAAAAATGCTTAGGAGGCGCAAAGTTGGCCGCCATTGTTGGTGCTGAAAGAGCGCCTTCTCTTACACTAGTCTTTCAGCTTCGTGCACTCTACTTTCATTCTAGGTACCGCGGTACTCCTATTTGGTTCGAGTCGAAAGTGCCGACAAAGACCATAAATTTGAAATTTTACGGACCCGCAGACTCGGGCCTCGGGCGACGGTACCGTACCGCCGAAGAGTACGGAGTTCGAGTTGTCAGAAATTTTGCAATTCATGAACTCGGACCTGATTCTTAAGTACCGCCGTGTACGGTCGTCAGAAATGCGTACATAATTAAATGATAAGTTGGAGTTCGCGTGACACCGGTGACACATTTTCGTGACCGGTTCGTCGCGCGGTCGATACCGCCCATACCCACCGTAGGTTGCTTGTGTCACATGCAGGCACACTGACACTAGCTGATGTACAGTAGATATTTTGAATGCGCGAATTAGTACCACATTGACATGCAGCAACCATGGTCACTGAAGTTTGATAGGTAGAAAGCAAAGCCTTGAAGGGCGCGGCTGACACCATCCATGGGATGTGCCAGTACGTAGAAACATACATGCACGCAGCAGGTACCGTCGAAAGTATACAATATAGACAATTCAGCAATCGAACTAATTGTAGTTGTGATGCACATGCAACAAACTAGGTATATGATTTGTAGAAACAGCTCATCTACGTGCCAGAAGTAGGGCCTGAAGCATCAAGCCAACTGCCAATGATATTTCAGTATGTCTCATCGGGCAAGCTTGAAAGCTCTTGCCGAGGTGGTGGGTCTGTCAAAACAACACTACTGAGATATTCAAGCACAAAGCTCGCCTTCACCCCACCACAGCGGTGGGCTGAAGGCCAAGAATCCCCTACCATCTACCGAGTGTCGATCAATCAAGGTCATTGCGGACCAACTGCTCTTTTAAGCCCAATCTGTTGGACCTCTAAAAAATGCTGTACAACCCTACCGCCCACGAAACACACGCGACCAACAAGAACCATACGGAAAGCAAACTTTTCTAAGAGGCCATCACACTACCGCTCCCGTTGTATAGACTTCAGAATGCTGACCCCCAGGTCGGGAGTCTCGGACGCCGCCCTCGGGACGACCTTGATCGGGGCCGCTGCCCCCCTCTTCTTCTCCGCATCGGACTTCACCGGAAACAGCTGCAGTTCGTTGACCTCCTTGCCGCCATCCCCCGCACCCCCCTGATCCGAAAAATCGGGGCTCGAGTAAAACTGCGAACCAGGCAGCCTGCCCGCTCGGAGCGCATCTTCATCCGAGTCGTTCCCCCCGCCCTTTATCCGGTGCGACTGGCTGAAGAACGACCCCGCGTGCGTCATCTCGCTGCGGCCCCCGTGTTGAAAACTATCCTCCGCTGTCCCCCGTGAGTCCTGCCTCTGCGGCCAACCGGACCACCGCGGGTGCGCATCCACCTCCTTGCGCTTCCCAAGCATTCCGTCCCCTCCCCCCGCTGAGAACGTCTGCTCGCTCCAGTCTCCCTGCCGGGACTCCCCATGCGCGTCTGAGCTCTGAGACGCGAAGTTTAAACGGGTACTCGCAGCCCCCCCCTGCGGCATTCCCCCCGCCCACGAGTGAGAGAGCCCGCTGAAGCTCTGCGTGGGGCCGTCCCGACCAGCGGAGCTCCTCGGACGGAACTGGTCGTATGCAAACGCGTCGCCCGCCCCGCTGGAATACTCCTCGGGCCCCCTGAAATTGGCCCACGAGCTCTGGACTGGCATGGCGGACTGGGAGGAGTGGCTGGGAGTAGGGCCCATCGGGTTAGCCCCTCCTGGGAACCCGCTCTGAGGGTTAGTGAAACCTGCCGGGTGGTTTGCATTATTTGGGAGGTTCCAGGGGGCCACGCCGCCACCCGCCATGGTGGCGAGCCAGGCTGCAGTGACCGGGTCAGGGTTCTGCATCCAGGGGTTAAGGGCCGGGTTAAGGCCTGCCGCCCCCTGGAGCTCGCTATACTTCGGGTACATGGGCATATACCCGCCTGCTGCTGACCCGTATGGACCCCCCCCAGCTGGCGCTGACATTGCCTCCCCCCCGAAAAAGGAGGCCGAAGCTGAGTCGTAGGATGGGTAGCCCGCCATCATGCTCTGCGCCTGACGCATGTACATGGCAGGGTTGAGGTAAGGGTTGGAGAATGCCGTCATTTGCGGGTAGTAGGCCCCATACGCCCCCGCCAGAGCGTTCTGCAGCCAGGGGTTTGGCATGGCCGGAGCTGTGTTCCCCTGCAGATGGGGCCTCATCGCCTCGAGCGTCGCCGACAGCCGGGTCGCCTCTTCCAACACCACCTGCGCCCCCGAGTCTTCGGCAGAGACCGCCTGCCCCCCCGACTTCTCGCTCTCCGCTCGGTGCGCCATCAACTTGGAACACGACTCCCCCACTCGCTGCGCAACTAGAGCGAGCGCCTCCGCAGCTTGGACGTTCACCGGCGCCACTGTCGCCGAGCTGACTTCCTGGAACGACCGTCTTGCCGCCTCCTGCGCAGCCATAACGGCCTCCCGCGGGCCGTACTGCGTGCTGATCTGCGCCACTTTGGAAGCAACGTAGCGCGTGCTGCTCGGGTTGCCAAACTCGGAAGTCTTGGCCGCCTTGAAGGCGTCCGCGTGGCTGACGGACCCACTGTTTTGGGGAATGGAGAAGGGGTTACGCCGTACGTCGCTGACGGCGCTACGCTCGGGAGTGACAGCTGTTGAGGGTTCTGGCCAGCGAGAGTCACGAGGGTGGAGGCGCTTTGTGGAAGTGAGGGGCGGGGGTTGCTCGGTGGTGAAGTCCGGGTTCTCCGCAAACATCTTCTGGACCTGGCATCAGAAGGAAGATGAGAGTGTTCAGACTTGGAAGGGAAAGAGGAGAATTGCTTGACAATGTCTATGATCACGAGTCAGACCAGAGCTTAACCGCGAATGGGAATCATAAAATGCTGAAAACCACTCTGAATCTGGCACAAGTAAACTCAACAGTCTTAGCATGAAGGAAAGGAAAGAGAGAGTAAGCGGAGCAGAGAGATATTGCACTCATGCAAAACTCCCATCAACTCAAGACAAGTAAACAGAAAAGTTCATAGCGTGCGTCCTCTGGCTGAAGGGAAGCAGCAACAGTTAAGCAGTAGAGGATGCCAAAGCACAGAGACTAAGCATTCAAGTTTCTCACGCAGGCTGCAGGACAGATTCCATCCAGACACAAGGATTGGACTGGACTCTGATTAAGGGACACTCAATTGAACCACTTCTAGAATGTCCTTGAGGTTAGGCCATACCAGAAAGGACTCAACCTATGACAGCTGCTAGCAGTGCATGCAAAAGAACTTGAGCTACAAAAGTTCAGAGAAACTCGAACGAAGCTTGCAAATTTCTTGCATGCAGTATCCATACCAAGCTCTGCTGAAAGAGAATGTGTGACAAACATGGGAAGCTCAAAAAGCAGTCAAGCAGCCTGCCAGAAACAGGGCAACTTAGCACGCCCAAAGCAAGCCATTTGCTCAAAACAGGCTGCCAACCCCCATATTATAGCGATTCAGAATCTGGGTTGCTCTGGCCATTATACCAACTCAGCAAGTACCTCATCCAGCAGATTCTGCTGAAGGAGTGAGCTCAGCAAAAAGAAGAATGCATCCCAATGGAACACACAAGCCTTACTGCTCCAGCACAGCCAACTTCAAAACCCACAAGCCCCATCAAACCTCACGTGTGCGGAGCAAAAGCAGAACCGAGGAGCCTGCCGGCCTAATCCATGCTATCTCTATGAAGGTCTGAGCAGCCCATAGCCTCATAATTAACAGCAAGCCCGTAAAATGCATCCATCAGGAGACTTTTGCTCAGGAAACAGATAGAAGAAGACACAGTCCAAACAGAATGAAAGCATGTGCTTAGCAAGACAAAATGAGGGTAAATGCAGGACAGGCTCCAAGGAGAGCATTAGCAACACAACCTGACAGTGGTTAGTCAAGAAACCAAGCTGGCTCTGCTCACCTTGACCAGGCGGTGCATCTCAAAGAGCTGCGCAGAGAACTTCTTCTGCTGCTGCTGCATCGCCTTCCGCGACTTCCAGAACCCGTGCTGCCCAATCACCGACACGACGTCCTTAGGCAGGATGCCTGCCGCCGCCGCTGCTGAATCTGCCCCGTTGCTCTCAACGTCACACACACTCGGGGGGTCCTGCTCAGACAGCGCCC